AATACTTTAAATTGATCCAAGCATAGCAAACTAGACTGTAAGTCTGGTCTGACAGATTCTAGATTTTTCTATTTTATAGGATAATAAACAAGAACCCACGTTATTACCATTTATAAATACAAATAGTAGCATTGTCTGTTTGATGGAGGACTAGCTTGAACACAGGCCTTGACAATATAAAACAGAATTCATCTGAAGTCTTTTATAGCCTATTAACTTTCCTATCGGAAAGCTTGTAAGCGTCCATACTCTTTTTAGTGCTTGTGCTCTTGGACTTAAATAACAAAAGAACATGAATATTTAATAAAATATAATTAATTCCAATTCCAACTACATATAATATATAACTGTATATAACATATTCAATGTACTATATATAATATAATATATTATTACATATTCTGTATATGATACATAATTAGAATTAAGCATATGTCATTAAACATTCATTTATATTAATACATAAATATGAGCTTGCTAATATTTTATGCAAATTTAAAATTTCCCCAAGGTGTATACTTTGCCACATTTATAGATCATATATAAAAGTATATAACATATCCAAGCACATACATGCTTATATGTAACATTGCATGAAAATACATCTTTTGGAAGTCTAAAATTTGTTAAATCAAATCCAGTCACCACTGCCTTTTATCCCTAGCTTACCCTTGTGAATGTTAACTGAAGGGATGTTCTTTTGGCATTTGGAACTGGTTTCAGGGTTTGATTAAAATACATGAAGTCAAATAATTATGTTTCAAGTAATTCCTAACTATATTAGTATATAATACTAAATTTATGCCTTAAATTGTGAATTTTACCACTGGTAAGCATGAACAATTTAGGGAATTTCTAGTTTTATTTCCAAAATTGAATGAGTTAGAATTTAAAAAAGAACATATGTAGAAATTTCACTACTATGCTATTTTAGCAAATTTAGAAAATTAAAAAAATATAAAATGATCCATTAATTAAAACATGTACTATAAATACTTATTCTTATAAATTGAGGCATCCAGAGATCTAGTTATAATAACCATACTTACAAAGATAGAAAAATAGCTTTCTGGAAAAATGAAAAGAGTTCATGAAGGTATTGGGAAATTTAAATTTTTTATATGATGAGATGATAAAACCACCTTAACTTTCAAAAGTGTCAAATGTACACACAGTTAGGTCATGGTCATAACATGTTGTATTTCTGGAATTTGTTATTTGCTACCAAAGAGAAAACTCTAGAGGAGTTAACACATTTTAAAAATCCTTATCATGACTTTTAAAAGAATGGAATTTTCATAAATTCCTATTTTCTTATACTCTAAGGTCCCATTCCTCTTATCTTTCAACTTATATTGTGATAACTGAAGTTTTTTCCCTTCTTATAAAGTATTCTGAGAAAGACACAGCAAAATAATAAATCAACAACATTTTTTGTATCAGTTCAAACTTTTTCTCAGTCTTCGAGACTTTGGAGTCCCTCTATATATACTTGAGTTGAATTCATCACAAAAATCCCAGATCCAGGACATTTTTATTTTGGATCCAGATAACTTTTTCCAGAAAACCCCCTGATGGGAGAAGAGACCTTTTCTTTTATGGAATTCAACAGAATAATGATTCCCTTCTATTTTTCTCCAACTCAAAAACCAGAGAGGTTATATTGGTAAGATCTCTGCTTCTGGTACGTAACTCAGATGACATATAATTGAAGGACTGCAATAGAGCCGAGATTCTGAGAATACACTGAGTTTAAAGACATTATGGTTATATTTTTTATGAGCATGGCCAAGAATGCTTAATACACAAACCTGTGGGAAAAAGCTACATAAATCACTTCTGTTATTTATTGAATTTTTATTTGCTATAAGACCTATTTTATAATATAAAAGCAGAGATGTGGTATCTGATTTTCTGAAAGGTTTGATTCCTCTAAGATTACATTCCATCATTCCTCCGCATAGTTGTTTTGAGGCAATGCATTGTCATTATGTTTTTGTTTAAATTCCTCCTCTCACTTCTCTAAGGCCTACTGCTGGTATATGATTATTGCTAGAACATAAATTAGCTTTATATGTAGACATCTCTGGATTCAAGTATTCAGATTATATTTTTGGGTCATTGTAATGATAGGTGGAAAAATACAATGTTACCGAATATCCCTAAGGTCCTATGAGATGAGGTACAAAGAGGATCACAAGTGGTAGCAGCACCTTGAAAAAACCCACTAAATGTGTATGGGTGTGGTAGATGGGACTTCGAGGCACATTCTTATTGCTATATGAGGAAGCGTGCCCAGAATCTGCCCTCATTATGTCTGGCGCTTGCCAGTTCTTTTCAAACCTCAGTTTCATGAGCACCATAAAAATTCGCTTAAAATCGAAAAGAACACCCTGAAGTTAAAACCCACTCTGTTTTGCCTTGCCTTTCATGGCCCGGAGTGTCACCTTTTACCTCCAGTAAATAAAGCCAACACCAACACTCTTCTGTGTCTTTTATTTTTTATGCACTCAATATTCCTTACTTGACAATCTGGACACTTAACGGGAATTGCAGGGGCGATCAATGTACTTGCAAAGGGAATTGTCTCTGTGCTCTATACTTATACAATATACCTATCATTTTCTTTTGTTTCGCACTGCATTGAGTCAATCTGAAATGGAATTAAAACAGACATGATTAATAGCGGACCACAAAGAAATCATGATATCATAATACTTTCTTAAAATGACATGGTGTGTGTGTCTAAGCAGCATTCCCCAACAGAGACAATCACCCTGTGTGACGATCTTGCAGGGTATTGTCTCTTTAACCTCACTATTTCCGAGAAGCCACCGAAAAGTTCTAATATGTCACAATTCAAATGTCAACATGTTGTTGGAAAGGAAGCTAATAAGTTAAACCTTTGAGAGATGCCAAAAAAAGAGGTGATTCAAACTGTTGAGAGAAGTCCATTGTTTTCTAAGGGGAAATAGAACTCCAGAATGAAATAGAGTGCTTATAAGCATTTAACTGGAAGGTTTTGGGGGAAAAAAGTGAACACACAATCAGTTTTCTCAATCTGATAACTTTTTGAACAGAACTGTTCCTCTCAGCGTACTTCCAAAAACAGGAAAATTGCAGGTGTGGGTTAATAAGATATAAACTGCACACTCACTGGTTTTTGTAGAAATAGCACATCACAAGGAGTAATTTCCTTGAGATAATCTGGAGTCCCTCTATGGTTGGATATAAAGAATCTTGGGTTATATGATAACATATTCTAGCAACATTTTGCATTTGGCATTATTTTCTATAAATATTTTATTATTTCTATAAATTATTTTCTATTTATGGTTAAGTTACTGTTGAATGAAAAAAAAAGATTTTATTTTGACAGGAAAGAAAGTAGACAGAAAACACTCCTCACTGAGTGAGTTTTTAGATTTAGCACTATTGGGTGCTGTGATGTTTTTATAGAAAAATAAACAAGCGGGCTTTAGAGCCACCTACTGGAATAAAGAGGCACATGCTTATATTTGATGTCTTCTGCTTTGCAAAAGATAAACAAATAGATCAATACCATGAGAGTTATGCACATTTCTGTTGATCTTATAAGGTATTAATTTACTCAGTTTTTCTCAATTTGAAATGTCAAACATCCTGCAGGAAACCAGCAGTTACAGAAATGCCCTTTAAAGATACATTCTCATAGTTCTTAGTAATTTGTGTTCTGTTGAGTTTTCTCCCCATTGGATTGAGGCTGAGCAGGATTGAATCCCTAGGGTTTTTTTTGTTGTTGTTGTCTTTGTTGCTCTGGTGGTACTGTGTGTGTGTGTGTGTGTGTGTGTGGGTGGGTGTGTGAATGTCACTGGTCTCATTTTCACCAGTTAATTGTATAATCTCATTCTTTCTTCCTTCCACAACCCCTGTCTGGTCATGGAATTATTGTTTAATTAATAATCTTAGAATAAGATTGAAAACTAAGAACAATTTTTTTTTGTGGTAAAATGAAGACGCACCTTAAATATTTTCATGATTAAATGCTTTTTTATTGAGATGTGATTGACATATTAGTTTCAGGTATACAACATAATAATTAGATATTTGTACATATTGTGAATGAAAATGTTTTTATACATTAAAAGAACCCTGAAACCTGGACAGGTAAATTGGACAATGACTTGCCTAAAGTCACAGAGCTGGTGAGGGGAAAGGTAGGCAGCTCTCAGAAATTATAGGTCCACATTTGCCTGACAGCTTTTTAGTTAATCATTAACAGATCTATTAAATTTTTTGTCTCCTCAGAATTTTGCTAGAAGGCAGGGGAATAAGCACTATACCCTGCCACCCTGATGAATGAATAAATTAAAGGCATACTGCCTACTTTTAGAGAATGGGAGTCAGGAGCTGGAGCGTGAGGGCAAGTCCTGGATCTGGGAGTACTAATGATTAGTGAGAGGGGGATTAAGCTTTTTAAAAACAAAAGATTCTCCTTTGAATATGTTCGCTACAGTCAGCTCTTGATGCCATGTCCTTCCAATCTACTGCCTTAAAAACACCTTGTTGAGAAGGTGGCTGCTTTTGAGAACATGTTAAGGGAGGCCATTGTGCCTTTGCCACCCTTTGCAAGGCCGCTGCTGGGTAATGCCAGACACATTCAGCTCTGTGAATACCTGGGGGGTTCACTAGAGTGAGGAATTCAGAGAAGGGAAAGTACTTCACCAAATATTACACAAGGTATATGTGACACAGAAAGCCTTGTATGAAGACAATTTGATTGGTGAAGTAGGATCTGGAAGAGATTTGTGAACCGGCATGAGAATCACAGCTTTCCAGTTGTCATCAGAAGGCTAATTTTCAGGACACAAAACAGGAAGTCACACTTCTTCTGATAAAAATAAAAAGAAACATGTTTGTTAAGGTCTGAGAAAATGTACAGGTATGAGTGGATATCTTGTCCTTTCCTAACATTCACTTCTTTCTCTCTTCCCACCGCCTCCATTTCTTGTCTTCTGAAGATATTTTATAGAGTAGTCGCAGACATTGCACCAGGAGAGGAGCTCCTGCTGTTCATGAAGAGTGAGGACTATCCCCATGAAACTATGGCGCCGGATATCCACGGTTAGTACTGCTCATGCCACCGTCCTCATTGCCCTCATTTGGTTGCGTGGGATCAAGCATCCCCATGAGTCCACTGCATGTGGCATGTATCGGTTTTCCTGGCTCTTCAGTGTCAGCTTTAACAAACTCTTTCTCTTGCAACTGGCTCTTTTCTTGGCTTGACATCTGGCTAATGTTACTGTGAAGCTTAAGTCAGCAGAGGTCTTCCCTAAAGTGGAGGCCAAAGTAATTTTGACTATTTTGACTGAGATACCGCATGGTTAAATTTTTTTGTCAATGTCTTAGACTATGGGGAGAATCCTCTCACTGAACAGAAGTCATTTCAGGGAACTCAGTTTGGATTTTCATAAATCTAGTGGCTGTGTCTTTTCATCTAATGTTCTATTACTGGGAAAAGTGTGTCAATGAGAGTAAAATCCTAGCCAGCATGACCATATGGGAGAGGATTGGGGGATGGGGATTGGGAGAAAAGTACACATGAGGAAATTTTACACCCAGAGAAATTTGTATTAGCCGGAGAACTATTCTAAATCAAATGAAGTGGGGATCAAAACAATTATAATTACTAGTTGTATACGTATAGGACCAATAAAGAGAAAATTCTACCCATATTGATTTGTATCATTGGGATAAAAATGGAGTACTCTTTTCTTTCTCTTTCTTATTTCTCTCTCCTAATATAACACAATTTGGTTTAACATAATCTAGTGGTGACTTTAGAGTGTTTTGTAGTTGGAAGGACCACTGGGAAGGGTTACTCACCCCAACTTAGCTGACAGGTGGGGATCGAGCCACCTCCCATCCTTCTGGCATTCCCGACAGGAAAACCTCAGTCTCTGCTTCTGGAATGCCTCCGAAGGAAGCTACCAGTCTTGGCTGGCTCTTTACTTGAACATTTTTTCCCTTGGCTGGGCTGCATTCTGCCTTTTGGTAGATTATAGCAGTTATATTTTGGGGAACCTTTTGGAAATTATTTTCTTCTTAGAAACCCAGTGTTCTCAATGAGCCTGGTAGAGTTTCAGCCTGAATAGGGAGTCTGGTCCAACCAGGTGTGTGAGAGCTGAGGGGGCTTATATGATAAGAAATGTAATCTGGGCTTTCTCTAGTGCAAGACTACTTTCATTGGTGAATGTTAGGTCTAAAAAGGTTTTCAAACAACTATTTTAGAATTATAAATGTTCTAGGTATATAAAAATATTCTAAATGTTCTAGATAGATAAATATTTGAAATATTCTAAATTCTAAATATAAATGTTTAACAATATAAATATTCTAAAAAACTAAATAGAAATGGCTGTTCTTCTTTCAGGGCTCCCATTCATGAATGAACTGCCTTTACAACACTCTTGAACCCACCAGTTGTTTTTTGTTTTTATTGTGTCATATCCGTATCCATATATATATACCATATATGTTATATGTAATGTTTATGGTGCTTAAGTGGTGATTTGTGTTTTATACTACTACAATTTCACATTGCTTAGGAGAGAGAAAATAGAACATGCATCACACACCTAGTGTATACCAGATATATGCTCTCCATTTATTATCTCATTTGGTCTTATCCATAGATCAAAACTATAGGAGAGGAGTCATTTCTATTATACACATAGAAGAACTGAGGTTACCTAAAGCTAGGTATATTGGTCAAGACCACATGACTGGAAAGTAGAGTTAGCTTTCAAACCGAGGTCTTGCTGCTTCTAAAACCTAGGCCTTTTCCATCCATTCTGTGGCCTGGAAGTTTTGTTTGTGTTCAGACTGCTGGTGAGATCCTAAATGTAGTTTTTTTTTGTGTGTGTGTTTTATATTTTTTGTTTTTTGTTTTAAAGAGAGAGAGAGCAAGAGCGAGCAGGGGTTGGTGGGGAGGGGGCAGAGGGAGAGAGAGAGAGAGAATCCTAAACAGGCTTCACGCCCAGCACAGGACTCAATCTCATCATGACCCTGAGATCAGGACCTGAGCCAAAATCAAGATTTGGATGCTTAACCAACTGAGCCACCCAGGCACACCCTAAATATAGATTTGAAATATGTGAATAGTGTGACAGATTATAAGGAAATATTTCCATTGCCTGAAAAATGTCATCGAGAAACCTGACTTTCGAGCTGATGTGATTTACTTTAGAATACCCCCTTTTCCTTAACCCTCCACAGTCCAAAGTTGACACACATATTAAATCTACATACTGGTTTCTTTACCGTCCTGGGCCCCCTGTTACTGGTTTAGTTTAAATGAAACCAGTATTGTGTGTGGGTTACAGCAGTCGTGTTTCATTTGACTTCTACTTAACTTCCCATGCTACAGCTGGGCTATCTGACTTTCAGTGGCTTTCTGTTCCCTTCTTAGCACGAGCCCCCAAAGCCCCTAGCGACCTGCTACCCTCTCTTACTTCACTTCCCATTGCTTCCCTGCATGCACCCTATCAACCTGCCCTTTTTTTTTTTTTTTCCCTATAGCTTTGCCTTTCCACAAACTGCCATGCTCTTCCTTTCCTTTACCATTGGTCTACACTGTTTCCACCGCCTGAAATGTCCTCCCTCATCACACTTCACCTGGCTGATGCTTGCTCCTTACAAAGCCTTTTCTGAACTTCTCTCCCTCAGATTAGATGGATTAGACACATTCCTGTGGGCTCCCTTAGGCTCTGTGCATGCATCTGTCATAAAATATATCACACTCTATTTGTTCACATGTGTATCCCCTTGAGTTTCTTATATAGTCATTCCCTAGCAAAATGCCTAGCATTTGTTGGTGACTAAAATATTCCCACAAAAACATTCAGTCAGTGAACCACTGGCTATAGGTCCTGGCTGTAGGTCTATAAAACAGGGATTATGGATCATGTTGCCCTGTCTTTTCATGATTGTGAGCTGTTTTCAATACCTCTGTGATTGTGTCTGTGTGATGTGTGCATAGTATGGCCTCACGAGTGGTCTAAAAGCAATTCGGAAGGAAAGAACAGGAACAGTACCATCACTAGCCTGACACTTTATAACCTTGTTATCGCTAGTTCCCGCTACGACCATTTATTTATCTTACTGATTCAGAGTGCAAATTCACGATATGTTTGCTCTTTAACAGGGTCCTGCCAATTAGCACTGACCCTAGGGTAATGTAAATTAGCCTTGAAGGATACTGAAAACATCCTGTGTCCATTACGTGGTAATGAAGAATGTAATGAAAAATCCCACATTTACTGCTATTAACCAGGTATAAGCGGGACTCAGAGCGGGACTCAGTGTCCCATGTGTCCTCCAGGTAACATGGCACAGTGAGAAGGGCATGAGACACAGATGGATTCTTATCCTCGCAGAACCCTTTGAGTCTGTAATCCCTGACTGCTTACTAAACTTCTCTGAGCTTTAGTAGCCTCATGTGAGAACAGGATAAAAATCCGACATATAATTTCTCATGATCAGGTTTTGAGAAACATCAGTAATCCGTGAATGGGGTTGAGGAAATAGATGATGCACGGTCAGTGGTTATTATTACTTCTAATGTCCTGTGAATACTAACTCCTGGAAGGGTTTAAGCCGTGTGCTCTGGTAAGGAAGCTCTGCTGTAGTCAAAGGAGCCACATTATCCTGCTAGGTTGTGTCCTGGCTTCTCTACAGGTATTATTTTTAATTCAGGTTAAAATGGAAGTGGTGGAAACGACAACTAAATCATTTCTCATACATCTTCCATAATTCGATAAGAACTAACTGCTGGTTTGTGGTTGACACTTCCTGATTGGCCCAGGCCTCGTAATATCTGGATTATTTTCACAGAAGAACGGCAATATCGCTGTGAGGACTGTGACCAGCTCTTTGAGTCCCAGGCTGAACTGGCAGATCACCAGAAGTTCCCCTGCAGTACTCCTCACTCCGCATTTTCAATGGTGGAAGAAGACTTTCAACAAAAACTCGAAAGTGAAAACGATCTCCGAGACATACATGCAGTCCAGGAGTGTAAGGAATGTGACCAAGTCTTCCCTGATTTGCAAAGGTTAGAAGTGGCTCGTTGCACTAGGGAACATGTTTATTTACTCTGCCGTCAAGTGTTGTTGTTATCCAGTCGGTAGGCTGAATTCTTAGAATGTATGCAGATGGGAAATTGGGAACTGCAATGGACCTGACGATGTGTGCTAGCAACATGTTTCAGAAATCAGTTTTCACTGGAAATTCCTATCTGTAAAACTCTTAAATGGAGTTGGAAATAGTTATTTTGATGCTAGACAGAAAATAAGGTGTTTATGTTTGTTTACACAGTGTTCTTGGTAACTGAAAGCTTAACGTTGCAGCATAAAATATGACTTGGAGAATCGAGAATGCTGGAACAACACTGATGCCAATTAAAGTCATCATATGCCAAACAGTAAAGCTGCCACTAGAAACATCTAGATGATTAAAAAAAAAAAAAGAGATTGGTTCTGGTATAGACTTAATGAAAGAATGATGATCTTTTGATAGATATATGTCAGCTGTGGATTTCATTTCAACTATTTATCTAAACTGCACATATATAAAAGAGTAGGAAAATCATTCTCAATGAAGAAAATGTCCTGTTTCCTAAAAGGGAAAAAAGAAACTTGATCTAAATGAAATGATTCTCTAATTCTTATTTTTAACAAAGTAAAAATCATAAATCAGCAATATATTAATCTTGGTAGGCTTTTGAACTTTTTTAAAGAATTTTTTTTAAATACTATTAGAGAAAACAGCAACTCTGGAACATACCCTTGGAAAACTATATTGGTAATTTGCTACAGAACAACCTTTCAGATCAGGGATGTATATAACCAGCTCATAGATTTTCTGCTTCTTTCTACCTAGTGGTTTTTTGCCTCAGCCCACAAACGGTTTTAATAACGGCATTGATTTCTCCGCTTTTAAATCCAGAAACGATCCTTGGAACCTAGAATCAGAATTTCAAATGAGCATAATGTTGAATTTAGGTGGGAATGGTAGTGTATGGACTGGCCTTACTCAGGAGTGTGAATTACTCAGGGTTTATCTTGGACACCCCACCTATTGCCCTTGACCATTTTGCTTCCTTTCTTTCCTTAGTGCCTTCCCTTCTTTTCTCTTCTCTTTCCCCTCTCTTGGTTGCCTTGCATCCTCTTCTCTGGCTAGGCTTCTTACAGGAAGGATTTCATACTAGTCATTGATTTTAGTGCATAAGTAACTTAAAAAGCATCAAGTATAACCCATTCCTTGAGGAGAATGAGTCAAAAGAATGAATTTCTAGGTTTGAAAGTTCAGGCCTAATTTAGCTTTTAGAGAGGAAAGGGGAACAAAAAGGGTTTTCCAGTACCCTTTAAAGTCCTCTTTGTTATTTAATATAAATCCATGTAGAGAATAAAACTACTATAGATGTTTGATAAAACATAGATTTGTAATAAAAATAAAGTCATAGCATGTGTTATAAATGTAACTGTGACCAAATTAAAAAATGCAATGAAAGTAATAAATACCAGTGGATGAAGTATTTATATGTAAAGCAGTATCTCTGATGCCATAGATGAAGTATATTTCCTTCAATTTTGTTATCAGAGCTAATGGACAGCATTATGTTACAAACATTGGTGGACTAAACACTAAAATGTAATTCCTACTTCCCACTAGAAGCGTATGGCGACACTTAGGTGGGGAGAGGTTCTTACTCTGACTAGCTAGCTGTAGGATTGAGCCTGAGTCAACGCTACTTAATGCCAAAACCAACTGTCAGTTTGGTTCCTTCAGTCAAACATTCAGTGGAAAACAATAAGGAAACCTAATCATCTGGTTTTGGATGAACCCTCAAAACTTACTTTTCGATAGCTCAGCCAGATGGATCTAACATGTCACTATGCAACCTGATGTCAACCATCTAAGTGGTATTTTTGGTTAAATAATTTAGCCATGTGCAGAACCTACATTCCTCGAATATTTTCCACTTTTTTGAATCCTATATTGTTGCTTTATATTTTAAACAAATGAGAAATCCTTTTTTGACATGGTAATTATTCTGTATTTTCCTGTAAAATGTTGAGGAAAAAAAAATACCCCTTTCCCTGCTACCCCACAAAGAAACAGCGAGGAGCAAAGGTTGATATGCAAAAGTTTTAAAGAACCCAGAAAACTAGGCAAAGCTCTATAAATTAGGATGAAGTTCTATGGAAAGTAGAGAAAGAAGCCTCACTAAAAACTGACCAGATGGCTTCTATGTTTGTGAAAGAAAAGCACATTTTCTTCTATAAGAACCATTCGCTTTTTTATTCTTTCTGTCACTGATGAACTGATAGCTGATAATTCTATGGAACAGTATGGATTTTATGCTGGAGTAGAAGAAACAAAGAAAGGAGAGTTCCCTTTGCACTGCTATTTATTTTTCCCCCATATGCCGTGTAGTATACTCTTGAAACTCTATCATTGGAGTTTAGGGCACAGGAGTAAGAATCCATGTATGGGCCAGTCTCTACCACTGGACACACACACTGGAATATAATGTATGTCATAGAGTGGCATGCCTTCCTGGGTGTCTGAGGATGACAAGGAGAACATTAATCTATGCAGTGATTAGAAGATGTCCCTGACTCAGTTCAATGTTAACTGGAGTCGATGGTATCTCTCTCTTAACTCTCTTAATAACATTTCAACTTGTGTAACAAACAGAGGATTACATATTGTAGATAAAGATAGGGCTGTTCTTGTGACTCCACACACCTGTACTCTCCTGGTACCTTTTGTTCACAGAGATATCACCATTTGTGCTCAAATAGAGCAGCATTACAAAGTCTACTGACTCATGGGGCAGGAAAAGTAAGTTCACGTGCCACTATGAGTAGGGTTGTAGGGAGGAAGCTGAGGAAGAGAAAAAATAGGGAAAGATATTTCTAATTTATCAAATATGAGAAAGGGCACTTTTTTTAAAATGCACACTGCCACGCACACAGTCTACACGACTACTGGATACATTCTAGGCACACAGGCATCTTACTTGACCCTTGAATTTTAGAGTATTCATCTCCCAGAAAAATAAAACTTGGGAAAGAAAGAGTGCTTACATGCTTAGTAGTTTTTTTTTTTAAATATCTTTTTACTATGGAAAATTTCAAAATATACAAAACTAGAGAGGTTGGTGTAATAAACCCCCATAGACTCGGTTTCAATAATTATCATATAAGGCCAGTCTTGTCTCAGCTACACTTGTTCAGATTATTGAAACAAATCCTGGACATTATGTCATTTTATTCATAAATAGCTGAGTATGTATCGTAGAAAAAAAAATGACTCTTTAAAATACAAGTTTCAACACCACACTTTAAAAATAATGATTCTTTGGTATTACAAAATATAAAATCAGTGTTCAAATTCCCCCACTTATCTCATTACTTCTAGAGTTTTTTGTTTGAAATAAGATCATGCTAAGGTCCACCAATGCAATTAGTAGGCATATCTCTTATGTCTCTTTTAATTTATAAGTTCCCTCAGTCAGTCTCTTTATTTCGTCTCCCTCCCTCCCTCCCTCATTAAAATTTATTTATAGAAGAAACTGCTTTTTACTGTAGCATTCGCTCCCGTCTGGATTCTACTGATCATGTCCCCTTGGTGTTAAAAATCTTTCTCCATCTTCTCTACTTCCTGTAAAATATCCCAAGCCTCGATCAGATTTAGGTTCATTGTTTTAGAAAGAATACCTCACTGATGTTATGGTTTATTTCCTTCAGGAGGCAGAGGATTTATTTATGGATTGCCTAAGTGTCCTAATTGTTTATGTGCTATAAAATGAATGTTTTCTACGTCTATCATTCTTTCATTATTATCTATATTAATTCTATGCAGAGAGAATTTATTGTTTATTTGCTCACCTTGAAGTTCAGTTCATATAGGAAAGGCAGGACACGTGGGTGAGTTTCCCCCTTTATTTACTAGTTTTCAGAATAAGGATTTGGCTTCTTAGCATCTTCCATGGGTGACCGGTGAGGCTTTGCTTGTGTGATTTTGAATATTGTTTGTTAAAGGATGAGATTACTATTTTTGTTGATGCTTAAATTTCCTCACGTCTGGTCAGTGGGTGTCTTTTCAGGTTGGTACCTTAATTCTTTTGACACGATCTGTAACTTTCTTGCAGTTTGCTGTAGCAAGATGTTCAGGGCCCATCTTGTGTATCTCGGGCTTCAAATTTGAAACAGGCTATTTCTCCAAGGAACTCTGGTTACCTTATTTGGGGTAGTATCCCAGTGTGTTAATCTGTTTATACTTAATTAACAAACATGTTATAAACATCTGAGTATCACAGCAATCCATTATCTATAATAATTGCTTTTCATTGCATTCCTGCGGATTTCACATACAAGTTTTAGAAGAGAGGGAAATATTTGAGAAGCAAAAATAGCCTAAACTTTAAATCAGAGAAATTATGCTTATGAGAAACTTCTAACTGCTTTTCTTTTGTGGGCCTTTAATAGTACATCTGCTTATAATATTATACACTTTTCTTTCCTCCCTAACTCATAGGCACTATATATATATACCCTTTTGTATCTGTGTACATCCATATGCATCCATGGGTTCCTCTGCTTCACCATCCATCCAGTCATCCCAGGGTTATATTGGGAAGTTGCTTGTTGAATGGTTAGTGTACAGCTTACTTTCCTATACGGTGATATGGGGAAAAAAAGTACCTTTTTGAATATAGAGGTTATAGGCTTTAGATAGAATACCTGCCTGCATGTTCTTTTTTTTAAATATTTTATTTATTTATTTGACAGACAGAGATCACAAGTAGGCAGAGAGGCAGGCAGAGAGAGAGAGGGAAACAGGCTGTTTGCGGAGCAGAGAGCCCGATGCGGGGCTTGATTCCAAGACTCTGGGATCATGACCTGAACCAAAGGCAGAGGCTTTAACCCACTGAGCCACCCAGCTGCCCCTGCCTGCATGTTCTTAAGCATTTTTGAGGATCTTCTGTTTGAGTGTTTGTGTTTGAATTGAGTGGGTATGAGCAAAATGTGTTGACCTGAGAATGGTGTAGTGAATCGAGAACTGGCAAACGACTAGTCGTTGACCATGCCCTTGAACTGGCAACTAATCCCTGATAGCTCTATCCAGTTTATTTTCTAACAGGGGTACTTCTCTGTGTTAGTAAGAGGCACAGTCTAAGAGAAATACATTTTCTTTTGTCTGTTGCAGGCCTGTTTCGTCTTCATCTTCCTCACCTCGCCACTTTTCCTTCTTTTCTCTTTAATTGCCAGTTGGATTACTAATAAAATGACTTTCTGTTTATGAATGTGTTCTTTGTCACCATGTCTTATTAAATCAATTGTTCTCTTAACAGCCTGGAGAAACACATGTTGTCACATACTGAAGAGAGGGAATACAAGTGTGATCAGTGTCCCAAGGCATTTAACTGGAAGTCCAATTTAATTCGCCACCAGATGTCACATGACAGTGGAAAGCACTATGAATGTGAAAACTGTGCCAAGGTACAGTGAATTTGTAGACTACTTGGCCTCTCTCTGTCATCCTGCTCTCTCTTAATCCATCACTTGCTATGATATATAAAAACAAGCCTTGAGAGGGGAAACTATAAATATCTTGAGAAAAGTAGACTGAGTGTTGTATGCTAAAAGGCATTAGTACAGTGTATAAAAACACTTAGTGGGTGTCCTTTTATTTTTGTAAGGGAGGAAGTGAGGCTTAATGGTGAGTTCCAGAACTAGGTGTCAGACATCCTTGGTAAATTCCTGGTTCCGCTACTGGCTTGCCAGTGTGGGGTTGTTTTATAGCCTTATGGAGAACGAAAATTTTATCCAATGCACATTTACTGATTTCTTTTAATAGCAATTTGTGAGGAAGTCACATAAAGTTTCTGAACGCCTATTCAGAAAGAATAGGAGACTCCTGCATTTGCAGATTTTTCCACCCAAGTCCCTACTATAAATCATGACTTGGTTCTAATTGAAAGCGTAGTCCCTTAGTGGCCACTGCTGAACAACATAGGGGTGCAAGGAAAGCACTCCGTCTTGACCTTGACTCTGAAATATGACAACAGTGGTTTGCATCATTTAATCTTCACGGTTCTCAATTAACTAAAAGATGTCTTCATGTCATTAAATTTGATTTCTATTTCCAAAAACTTTTCATATCATTTGAATATCTTTCTTCGTATCAGGGGAAATTGTGGCACTGGAAATTATCTTTAGAGATGTTTTGCTCCCAGAAGTATAGGTGACTTTTTCTTTTTCTCTTTTTCTTTTCTTTTCTTTTCTTTTCTTTTCTTTTCTTTTCTTTTCTTTTCTTTTTGTTTTTAGTACAGTGTTTAAAGGAATGGTGTTAGCTTCATGGTAACTTGCTGAAACACATTTGTTAGCTTTAACTCCTGGGGGAGCTCCTTGAATAGATTTGAGATACTTTAGTAAAATTCCCCCCCAATTTTGTACCCAGTGTGTCTTGGTTTAGAGGATGGAAATAGCACACCAGTTTTAATCATGTCTTGGCTGGCATTTTATTGTTCAACTCTAATCACTCTAAATGGGATCAAAAAGATCTTGAACATGGTCTAATCATGCCATTAATTATTTTGTTCAACTGATACTGATGGACATTTCATGCTAAGGATACAGAGCTGAATAATTTACAGTCCCTATCCTAGAGGAGCTCACGCTTTGCAATTATGACTTTCTTTTGGTCTTTGGGGAAAACAAATAAACAAAAGCAAAACAAATAAAATTCCTTCTTGAGTCATTCCTGGTCTTCTTTATTGTGTCCTTGAATTAAGTTTCCTGATTAATCAGTACTCATTTCCTAGCAGGTTTTCACGGACCCTAGCAACCTTCAGCGGCACATCCGCTCTCAGCATGTTGGTGCCCGGGCCCACGCGTGCCCGGAGTGTGGCAAAACGTTTGCCACTTCATCAGGCCTCAAACAACACAAGCACATCCACAGCAGTGTGAAGCCCTTTATCTGTAAGTTTTTCACACTCCAGCCCTCCTTCCTGCGTCCTTCTCTCGCCCGAAAGGCACTGTGATCAGGAGAGTGGCCACGTGGCCATGGAAGGGTCTCTGCATTAGCTCATTATGGTCCAGTCCAGTAGGGCTGTTTTCTATTACAAGAAAATCTTGTAACACCCAGATCCAGGGGTTTTGGTTTTGTTTGTTTATTTGTTTGTTTTGTGTTCTTTTGTCCATAATCCCCGGGGTGTTTTCTCTTAGATGAAGTCAGTAATGAGCAGAGAAGGGAGCAGTCATTAAATAACGGATGGGATGCCTCTCCAGGTTGTAGGATTTAATAGAGACAACCCGATTTGTCTCACGCTGAAAACGGCAGACGCCGCTACAGGAGGTGAAGTGATAAAAACCTGTTATGGATCAGAAAGGGCTGGAAGTACCCCACTTGGCAAGGAGGCTTAGGACTATGTGTGTGTGTGTGTGTGTGTGTGTGTGTGTGTGTGTGTGTTGTGCTGGAGAGGTAATAAAATACCCCTTAATCTCTACTTGTTACCAATCACAGACTGCCGGCCAGTAGTTCTCAGTTAGTTGAAAAGCAGAACATTCTCACTTTGATGCTGCACATGCTGCTTCTATAACCCACCGAACTAAAGCAAATTTACAGGTAGTGTGTGTTTAGGGGACATCCGGTCCGACCAACTACTTGGAACATCCCTGTATTTTTTAGTAACATGCTCTGCATAAAGTAAAACTCAGTGCTGGTTTGCTGCTTCTTCTGTCCACCCGCTCCTGGTCCCTGTGTTGTGCTGAAATGTTTCATAAGGAAAATCAGTTGTTTTTGGTTCCTCTGGGCAATGACTCTGGACTTCTTTTGATCCATTGCTCAGCGGGGCATACAAACACAGTGACTCACTGAGTTGTGCCACAAAGGTCAAGACTGATTTTGGATCCAGAAGAGCATAGAACTGTTTGAAGCACACTCCATAGATGGCAAAACCTCTGACTTGGGAACCCTTATAACACATTTTATTTCTGATAAATATATAAAATTCTGTAGTAGATGTATGAGACACTACTACAGGACCTGATAGGCAAAAAATATTTTTTAGTACCAACATGGAGATACCAGAGACTAACCCTCCTCCTTTTTATCTCGGCACAGTCCTCTTTTGTGCTTCCATGCATCAAGGGAGTTTTTTATTTTTTGTTTTGTTTTGTTTCCCCCTTTCCAGCTTATGCTACAGTCTTGTTTTGCTCCTGTGTTCTTCTGTTCCCTGGGTGGAGTGAAGAGGACTAGTTGATAAACAAAAGGGTGCTCTAGTCTCCCTTGGGGAAGCTCTGTTGAAAGTCACGGGAAATAAAGTATACAATAGAAATTTTAGACTTCTTGTCTCATAAAGGCATTTCTGACTCTAGGTCGTAACGCCCTTAAAAGTATACTTGAAAGTGTTACGGGCATAAATAACTCATTTCTTTCTGATTTCTCAGAAACAGACTTTTACTGTGTTTTGGTGGAAAAAAAAAATAGGTCAAACGAATTATGATCACCCATTTAATGCTTTCTCTATTATTTAAACCAAAGGTCAGAAAATACAGATTTCTATCATCGAAGGTTCTGGGATCTGGAATTTTAATTGTGTTGAAGTCAAGTGTTTCATTTTAAAGCACTATAGGGTGTCCCTTTCCAATCAGCTTGTGCAACTATTTGCCATGAATGCCTTTTCAGTAATTATTGGTAAATTTAAATAGCAGATGGCATTCTTCAAATATAAAATCTGACAGAGAACCATGGGGGTAATTATGAATAATAGCCATGTAATTTCAGAACAAAAGAGGAGAGTTGGTGTGGAGATTGGGAGTAGAGGAGGTTCACCTAGAGTTGATATCTGTTTCTCACCAGAAGGCCACACACCACGATTTACCCCCACTGGTGTGTTTATGGCAACTGTCTCTTATTACAGTGTACCGCCAAGCTTGAGCCCAAAGTCACCAGCGCTAAGGTAATTACTCACTGCCTTTACAGAAACCTCCGGCCTTCCCAAATAGAAACCACATGCTCTAATAGGCTGAACATATTCAAAATACCTCTTAATTTGTTTAATAAGTAGAAAAATGCAATGTTAACTGCTGGCTAATTCCTTATTACTAAGAAAATTACAGTAGAGTATAGACTTCAACATCAGTTGAACCGTTCACCTGGAGGCCTGGTGGTTTGTGGTGGGCCAGGGCAGACCTTCAAGTGAGAAAAACAAAGCCCCTGCCTAGGGAAACATCCCAGATTCTCCGTTCTTAAGACCCGACACACACATTGCTCATCTGAGTAACGGGGGGTACAACCAGGAAAGTCAAACACACCTTCTGTTACTCCGAGATAGAGAAGGTCTTGATTTCTGAAATCCAGCCGGCTCTAAAAGAGAAGTCTAGAGAGCGACATTTCTTTGCCAAAAATTGCAAACCTTTCAAAAGTTTATCCCGTGGTTGAAGACCCATCAAGACGTTTTCTCACGCCTCTTAATGCCCAGAGGAGAAGTGTTCCTTTCCCGATGAGTGCACTTTTATTATTCCAATGACATTGTATTTACTATTTCTTGTTATTGCTCATAGCTGAATTAATGTAACCAGTGAAAGCCTCATGTTTCTGCCCTCTGCATCATATGGTTTTAATTAGTGTATCAAAGAATTTAAATAGCATGTATATTTATTGTATATGGTTAAAGAGTACATACTTTTAAAGCAGCCTCTGGTCAGTATATTCCAGTAGGATGATTTGAAAAGAAATCACTCACATCTTCTCTTCCCATTAAAATGCATGTTGTGGCCTCTATCATGTTATGAATCATCCCACAGCTGAAAGCTCCTTTACCATTACTAAGTACCCTGATATATGTCACAGCACATTTTAATCATTATTAGTAAAAGAAATATTACGGGATCACTTGGTACTTCCTGTTTGGTGGTGTGTGGGATAATCCAACTTTTGGGTGAGTTTTGCATGACTGAACATCTGTAAAATCTGTAAAATCTGCTTCGGGTTTTTTTTTTTTTTTCTCTTTCAATTATTACTGCTTTAACTCAGAGCTCCACCATTCTGTGCTTAAAGGCGATCATCCCATGAAAGCAATAAACGTTGCGTTTTGTCTTCAATTTAATTTCTTATACAAATTTGTTTCAGTAACTCCCGACAAGGCGTATCATGTTTCTGCATGTATTAAATGTGCCCAGAATCGTTTACAGTAAGCTCACACATAAAGTGGATTCATCTCTGCTAAAGTCAGATTTAAAAATGTGATGCTTAGGAAACGGACACGATAATCCTGCCAAACTGCGAAGTGAGGGGGATTCGTACCGAACAACAGAGTTCTTAAAGGTTACGAAGCTTGGTCTCAAAATACACTTAAATCTGTTTTCACATACGTGGGGAGGAAGATGTTCTACTTTTTTGGCAAATGCCCCAGGAGGTGGGTTCTTTCCCAGCCGCACCCTGCTGTGTTCTTTCTGGATTAGAGCACTCTGAGCACCCTCCCCTGCTTACCATAATTGGCTAAACCCCATAGAAGTCAAGCCCTGAGATAACCGGTGAAGATATGACAACAAGTGGACATATTTCCCAAGGACGGGGGTTTCATAAATGCAGGAAGGTTAGCACAACCACTGGTGTGAGGGGAAGTCAGAGGACGTGATCATAGTTCATGGGAACCAGCAATGCAGGATGGGCCACATTCAATTTAGTTTCCTTTGCAGGCTTAAAATAGAGCCATTGTAAATTATGTCAGTCTTTCTCAAATCATGAAAATGATTGTTAAAAATGTCTCAGAATACACAATGTGCATTGTTGTGTGGCTTTGATGTGTGAATGATGAGAGCGTATGATATAATGCAAATTAAATAATGGTAGAACAGTCACAGGCTTTTCCCCCAAGGGGAGAGGGAATAAAGGTAAAGTTGCCAGTTGAGAGAAAGGCTGTTTTATTTTGTTTCAGTGCTAAGACTTAGAATTCTCGAGGTGGTCTAAAAATGTAATGGGGTTCCTGGTATGTTTTGTGCTTAAGAATTTTAATTTTTAAGATTCTGTTAGGGTAGTCTTTGGGTGGGAAATCGATGTATACTGGAATTGGACTTTTCTCTAAATATTTATACAAATCTGATACAAAATATGATGTAGTGGGGATGACAGAAATATTTATATACATTTATATATGGAATATTTGTGCTGCCTCAAGACATTTGTCAGGTTGGATGCCTTGCTTTGGAATCTAGTGAAATGGGGATTTTTGTGTTTGGAGCACCCAGATTGGTACCTCCAACAACTTTTCCTGGCTTCTTAATTGAAATTCTGGGTAAACCAATTGTGATACTTGCTCAATTCAGCAGCAATTGCCATAAAGCCTGAGATTCTCTTTTGTTGTTTGCACACAGGTGAGGTCTGCCATAAATCCTATACTCAGTTTTCAAACCTTTGTCGTCATAAGCGCATGCATGCTGATTGCAGAACCCAAATCAAGTGCAAAGACTGTGGACAAATGTTCAGCACTACGTCTTCCTTAAATAAACACAGGAGGTTTTGTGAGGGCAAGAACCATTTTGCGGCAGGTGGATTTTTTGGCCAAGGCATTTCACTTCCTGGAACCCCCGCTATGGATAAAACGTCCATGGTTAATATGAGTCATGCCAACCCGGGCCTTGCTGACTATTTCGGTGCCAATAGGCATCCCGCTGGTCTTACCTTTCCAACAGCTCCTGGATTTTCTTTTAGCTTCCCTGGTCTGTTTCCTTCCGGCTTGTACCACAGGCCTCCTTTGATACCTGCTAGTTCTCCTGTTAAAGGACTATCAAGTACTGAACAGACAAACAAAAGTCAAAGTCCCCTCATGACACATCCTCAGATACTGCCAGCTACACAGGATATTTTGAAGGCACTATCTAAACACCCATCTGTAGGGGACAATAAGCCAGTGGAGCTCCAGCCCGAGAGGTCCTCTGAAGAGAGGCCCCTTGAGAAAATCAGTGACCAGTCAGAGAGTAGTGACCTTGATGATGTCAGTACGCCAAGTGGCAGTGACCTGGAAACAACCTCGGGCTCTGATCTGGAAAGTGACATTGAAAGTGATAAAGAGAAATTTAAAGAAAATGGTAAAATGTTCAAAGACAAAGTAAGCCCTCTTCAGAATCTGGCTTCAATACATAATAAGAAAGAATACAGCAATCATTCCATTTTCTCACCATCTTTAGAGGAGCAGACTGCGGTGTCAGGAGCTGTGAATGATTCTATAAAGGCTATTGCTTCTATTGCTGAGAAATACTTTGGTTCAACAGGACTGGTGGGGCTGCAAGACAAAAAAGTTGGAGCTTTACCTTACCCTTCCATGTTTCCCCTCCCGTTTTTTCCAGCATTCTCTCAATCAATGTACCCATTTCCTGATAGAGACTTGCGATCGTTACCTTTGAAAATGGAACCCCAATCACCAAGTGAAGTAAAGAAACTGCAGAAGGGAAGCTCTGAGTCTCCCTTTGATCTCACCACTAAGCGAAAGGACGAGAAACCCTTGACTCCAGGACCCTCCAAGCCTCCAGCAACACCTGCCACAAGCCAAGACCAGCCCCTGGATCTAAGTATGGGCAGTAGGAGTAGAGCCAGTGGAACAAAGCTGACTGAGCCCCGTAAAAACCACGTGTTTGGGGAAAAGAAAGGAAGCAACATTGAACCAAGACCCCCATCAGATGGTTCCTTGCAGCACGCTAGACCCACTCCTTTCTTTATGGACCCGATTTACAGGTAAGGGAGGATAGGAGATGCTTCGACGTGGACATGTGTATGGAGGGCAGTTTTTACGTTCTAAAGCTGTGTCTGGTAACAAATTACTTTTGTTATTATAATAAGGCAGAGAGTAAAGTTGTTTGATCTCATGAATTCATTTTTTACTCAGACAGTCAACTCATTAGGTTTGGACTTATTTTTGGATGTCTCTGAATTTGGGGTTTGGGATGAGGCCCACAGAGTTCTTTCCCTTGACAATAAATTTATTTTTAAACACATTTTTTAAGTGGAAAATATGGGAAAGCTGTATTTAAAGCAAGTTGTCAAGCAGCAGAAGAATGAGGCTCCTGGAGGATTAATGCAAATATGTGTGGGGACTTAAATGGGTCAGGATATTTGGAATGAAGTGGGGCGTAGAACAGCATGGGTTTTCTCTTTGTTAACCTACCAATACATCCTTAGTAAGTACTGTTCACATTCTGTTGCTAAGTAAATCTCCCAGGAACCCAAAGTAAATGAAATATTAGTCACAAAAATGTCTTGTATATAATGGGAATGGTTAGTTTGGAAGGAATGCGTCTCTTCATACCTTCATTATCCAGTTTCCTTTGATGCATCCAAAAATTCTTTGGGGGAAACATATATGCTTAATAAAAAGCCTCTTTGGCAAGTGTTCTGTAACACTCACTTGACATTCAGAATGATTTAGTTTTTAAATACCAGCTTTCTTTAAAAGTATGAGTAAGACTAATTATGCTTATTATGTATTTTAAACATTACCAAGCATTTTCACATTTACTTTTACACTCAAGTCTTGAACATTGTCAAGAAATAATGGAAGGTGTGGATCATTGTTTATCGGACTTGTTTTAAGAGGAGACTATTTTCACATTTTTACCCGATTCTCCTTTACAAACAAACAGTCAAGTTTGTGCTACTCTTTCATTCAACAATACTTATTGATTCCTATTACTTAATAGGAACTTGAGCTGCAAACCCTTTTTCACTAAAATTTCCTCTTCTGCCTCCTATCTTCTGTAATACAGTAACTAAGAAATGCTGGCGGTATGTTGAGGGCTAACCCCACTGGAAGGGGTTATAAAGGACAATACAAAAATATCCCTGAGCCATCAGTATCACGCTCGGGCAGTTTTTTCAGTTATCATGTCTTGCTTCCCGTGGCAGTTCTAATAAAAGAAGGGAAAACAGCACTTCCCTATTTTGTGCGTGGGTTGTATTTGTATGGCACACATTGCCAGGAAAGTTGTCTTTCCAAATCAGTGATAGATCTCAGCCCTTTGTGAAGAGAACTCCTCAGACATTCTTTCTTAGACCCTCCCAGTGGCAGCAAGCTTTCAATCCCTCCACACACCTGTTACACTCTTCTTCACCCCCTAACCTTCCTCATGCTTAGTTGAAACTCAGTCTCCTCTCTGGCATTTCACTCTGAATTAAGGGCCTAGGCCTGTCATTTTACCAAAGTCATGAAAAACCTAAAGACCAGTTTTAGTGTAAGACCTGAGTTGAAATCTCCGCTTTCCCATGTCTCAAACTTTTTTTAAAATCCATAAAAGGGGTATAAGAGAATCTATTTCAATAAGTGAAGTGTGGTGTATGCAAAATATAGCATATACAAAATTTCAAGAAGTGGTAGCTGTTTGTATTAATTTTTATTCTATTTTAAAAGCATACTTATTCAACAGTTTTTAAAATTACCAACAGTTGGTGAAAGAAATTAATTTAATCCATGATCTCATTTCCTGTATACTTAATGGTAAATAGAATGACAAACATTTCTAAAGGCAGAAGGGGTATGTAGATAAGTTGTATATGCCTCTGTCTTCAAAAAGTTCCTTTTCCTTTACCCTCCACCCCCTTTTGTCATCCGAAAGAAGACACCTAAACCGCAAAGAGTGGATGGCAGGGTGCACAGTATACTTAGAAACTCTCCTGCTGTCATTGGTAAGGATGGGAGAAACATAATGAATAACTTAGGGGAACAGTTTCTTGGTAGAAAATGACTTTAATTTTCAAAATGGACTCTGTCATGATTTCAGAATCATCCAGACTTCTTGTCTCCATTTGAAATAGAAAGGTACAAATGTGTGACCAATGTCCTTGGTTTCATGAGTCTTCATTTTTTTATATTTCCTCACTATTGTTATTACTCGCCATTTAATAAGATTTTGCCTTTATAAATAGTGCCTAGAAGTGCCCTGAGTATTCTTCAAGAACCGAACAGATGTCTTTATATTTTTATTAGTGTTCTTCCCAGAAGCCTACCATTTGCTTTATTGTTAACTGTTTGAAATGTCAGTAATTATATGGTGATTGATATATGAGACTGATTCATCTCCAAAAACTAATTTTAACCTTTCAGAGTAGAGAAAAGAAAACTAACTGACCCACTTGAAGCTTTAAAAGAGAAATACTTGAGACCTTCTCCAGGATTCTTATTTCACCCACAAGTAAGTATTTTGAATTTGAGACTTCAAGCTTGTAAACCAACTTGTTGATCCTGAAAAGCAGGTGCAATGAAATGAAAGAAATCTTGAGAACATTAGGATTTCCTATGACGCTGCTGTGGAAGAACACAGGAAATTCTAGCAGAATTAAAACCCAAACTCTTTAAAGAAAAAGAAATTAATCTATGTGTAAAAACAGCGTGTTTTAGGGGTGTTAAATTATTGTCTGCTGTTAACTGCTTATTGAGCCAAAGTTGTTTTGGAGTGAGCAAAGTTCAGTTAAGAAAATAATACTGAAGTTGTCTTTTGTGTTTAAAAATTACTGCTAGTAAGAGACAGATCATACTGCGACTCGTCCCAAACTCATGAAGGTCCTTCAAGTTCCTTTAGTGCTCAGATAAAAAACAGGAAATGAGTCTACCTGACAAGTTGTTACCATAGAGGGTGAAGGAATTTATCTAGGGACCGCTGGGCATTCCAGCAAAGTTCTGTAATTGCACAAGAATTTACCACAATACACAGAGCCATTTACTGAATGGATCTGTGTCCATTTATCAAAATATATATAGTTTCTCATCGCAAGGAAAATGTAGAGCAGTGCCGTCTAATTGGTTCATCCCTCTGTCCTTACATATTTGGTTATTTTTAAGAACTGGTGTATGGAGCAATCAAAATGTGGAGAACCCTATTGAAAGACCAAATATATAAGCATCTTAAGTGTGTGTTTTTTAACCTGATATTTTGCTTTTTATTTCTAATTTTTTAAGGGTTATAAACTCTGATCTTTATAGATGGTAAGCAAAGTTTTTATGAAAATGCTTAAAATCAGTGAACTAATTCATTGTTTTAATATATTCAAATGAAAAACTATGCTCTTCTAATGAAAGTGGTGGAACTTTATGCAAGCTGTCTTAAAGAATGTTATGAGGTAATTAAATTATCTGGGGATATGACTATCCCTGCCCCTCTGCCTGCTCCCCCTCTGCCACCCTTTCTTCAACTTTTCAAGTACTTCCTCAACGTCCTGAACAACAGAGTATGAGAACAGCAGTACGTGTTCTGGTTAGCTGGAGAAATCTATCATTGCTCAAAAATTCTATTTCAAAGTATAGAAAATATATGATTTAATATTAAAGGAGTTAGAAATGTTCCAGGTAGTATTCACTTTTTATAGGAAAACTAAGGAATGATATTATTTGATATCATGATAATCACTTTATGGAAAAGAAATACATTATAAAATAGGTAAATGTTTATCAGGTACTTACAGTTTACATTTAGGTTGATTTAAATTGCACTTTTAGGCCTCGTGGGCTAATAAAGCTGAACATAACATGCATTTTGTGTCAGAGAGTGCATCAAAGGTCTATCTTTCTTGAGAACTTACTTTCTAATTATAACTAGCTGCTCATGGGGATATTATAGGTTTATACATTTAGTTACAATAATCAAATTGTTCTCATATTCTAATTATCTTTAAAATCTAGCAACTAGGGGCGCCTGGGTGGCTCAGTGGGTTAAGCCGCTGCCTTCAGCTCAGGTCATGATCTCAGGGTCCTGGCATCGAGTCCCGCATCGGGCTCTCTGCTCGGCAGGGAGCCTGCTTCCCCCTCTCTCTGTCTGCCTGCCTCTCCGTCTACTTGTGAACTCTCTCTGTCAAATAAATAAATAAAATCTTAAAAATAAAATAAAATAAAATAAAATCTAGCAACTAACCACTTCCAGCTTAAGTGCTGTGGGTACACGGTATAATGGAGAGGAAAAAAGACTGGGATGCAGGATCCTCAGGTGACTCGGGCTACCTGGCACTTAGCTCCTTATCTGTAAGATGGAGGAGCTGGGTGGCAAGTCCCTATTCTCTCTGACATTCAAAGATTTCTAGCTAGCCAAAGTGAATTCACTAGTTCATAAGACGAGCAGTTTTGTCCCTAAATAACTCCACATGTGCATGCGAGTATTAGACTATGTACATATTTTTAACCAAATGGTAGAAGAAAATCTACTCTCTTGACAGTTCCAAAGTGAGCAAAGGATCACAAAAGATGAGGCATCTGTCCAATGCTGGCAGCAGAGCCCCACAAACATGCCTGCAGGAGCACAGTGGCGGTGTACGCTTCCTTCCGATACCGAGGGTCCCGTCTCAGTGGAAGGGAATGCCTACTGCTGCTGTTATAATAAGGCTTGAGAGTGATAATAAGACACACTAAACGCCCCGTGTGTCGAATCCTGACCAAGCAGACGGGACTCCTGGCATCCTGGAGCAGGATCCTGGAGTCCTCGCTGCACCAACTGCCAATGCTGTACTTGCTGGCTGGTGGGCTGCCTAAAGGGTCTTTGGAGATGCATCCAGGGCAGGAGGGGAACCATTCAAGGTTCCTGCCTCAGAGGCTGTTTACCAACTGTTACAGAAAGATTTTTATAATTTTTTATAACCATCGTGGCAGTTTTCATGTGTAATGGCTATGGATCCCTGGGGTACAGGTGAAATAACCCAGAGAAGATTGTGCCACCCCCTTTTCATCAAGCCTTCAGACCTAAGAGTCTGTTCTTTCAGAAAATCTGCTTCAGGTGTCCTAAAGTTTCAGCAGAATTCTTTCTGGTACTCCATCAATTCAGTCCTAGCCCCAAGATCCACTTTCCCTTAAACAAACACCAACAAACGAAGACAACCTGCCAGGATGTGGGGCCAGAAAGGACTGCTTTATGACGGGCTTTCCTGCTTATTAGCAAAAATGCTTTGGTTTTGAGCAGTGCAGTTCATCTCTCTGAGCCTTCTCCATCAGCGTGATGGGAACGTCCCTTCCAGCTTTACCTGGCTGGCTGTGCGGGTTAGTGTTCATGTACATAACATGGTAGAACACATTCTGCCTGGCAAGAGGAAGGACCTAAATGAGGGAAAGCTTTCATTGTTAGTGAATGCAGAAGTATTCCATTTTGAATGTAAAACAATGCCAGTAAAATACTCTCCTGCCATCTTCTGAGCCCACCTTCTTTGGTGGGACTATACACGGATCTAGAAGCACTGGGAAAGGCCCTTACTGTATTCAAGCACTGCCTGTTGGCCAGCAGTAAGGGCGCCGCAGGAAGCCAAAATGGAAGACCTAGCCTCTGCTCCCAGGGCTTGCCATGATTTTGTAGCTAAATAAATGCTTGGATAAGACCATTTATGACTCCATTTTCCATTTAAAGTACACTGGAGTAAGTCACACTGTCCCTCTGGGGCTTCCGTATCTTTGGCTTCCAAATGGGAATAATACTTTCCCTACGTATTTCTCAGGGTTCTAATAATAATATCATCATCGTAATGAAGGAGACCACATATTGTTAATGTTTTAGGGAAAACATAGATATAGGAATATAAATTCTTGGTAGTGGTATTCTATGGGCAAGCCTGATTTTATAATTTTTATGTCTTTGTATTCTACTCAGCATGACCCTCCCCAGGGCACATTTCCTAATCAATGAAAGGTGAACACATCAATAGATACTTAGATATTTATTGAATTTTATTGAAAGATTATCATGCCATCTCACTGCCTCTTGGAATAATAAAATATATTTTTAAAAATCTTGTCAAAAATATCTAGAAGAGGGACACCTGGGTGGCTCAATGGGTAAGCCTCTGCCTTCGGTTCAGGTCATGGTCTCGGGGTCCTGGGATCGAGCCCCACATTGGGCTCTCTGCTCAGGAGGGAGCCTGCTCCCCCCCCCACCCCGCCTGCCTCTTCGCCTACTTGTCAACTCTCTCTCTGTCAAATAAATAAATAAAATTTTAAAAAATATATCTAGAAGATATTGGAACACATATAAAATTAGAAGATAATGCTTTTTTTTTTTTTTTTTTTCATTCTCAGGGTCTAAATTCTGCACTTTGTTCCATTTTTAAAGAAGTATGCTTTCTGTGTCAGGCCACTAGGGGACTATTCAGATTTCTATTTTTCTATTATAAGTTAGTTTAATGAAGGTGAAAATAAGTACTGTAGAGTTTCTTCCTGGATACATGGTTGAAAATTGTGGGGTCTTAGTTCAGATAATAATTTTGAAAAGGAATGACAGCCACAAGTAGGTGAGGTGGAGGGAATGGTATGAATGTGTGATCTCTGGAATGTCCATTGCATTGGGCAATTTGCATTTTAGGTACTTTGCATTTACACTGACGGCTCGTTTGAACTGCCATAGAAATCATTTGGTAGTTACGCTGTTATAAAACCAGCTCTTATTCCTTGGATTGAGTTTCCTATACTCTAAATATGTTTTTGGTTGTTAATACATTTTATTTCCAGATGTTTGGTTTTGTATGCATCTGCAACAAAGACTCTGTTTTACTTCTGTTTCTGGCCTTTATTTGCTCATTTTTATTTCCTTGTTTTTAAAGTGTCTGACTATCCTGTTACTATATCTCGAAGAACTTGGAAAAAGTTAGTCTTTTTCCAAGTTACCATTCATATATTGATGTGAAAATCACTTAAGTCTTTTGTCCTTCATCTTCTATTTTGCTTTCAGCAAAGTATTTCTTATTGTTACATTTCTTCTGCAATAAATTTTTTATCCTTAAAAACTATGTATCTTCCTTATTAAAGATAGCATAATTTATAAAAGCAAGAAATATCCCCATTAACCAAGCAAAATTATAATTTTAAGGATACAACATTTATGCTCGCTGGAAGTGTTCCCAATTCACTGAAGTTTTCCCCGGTGATTCTTAAGTTGATAGATAGGTAACTATTTGTAGTTCTTTTAATTAATATCCTTACGTGTTTTGGCCATAATGGTCTGAATCCCAAGCTAATAAAAGTCAAGCAGTGCATTTCCAAGTACATTACCTTTTTGTTACTCAGTGATTCACGTTTGAGTAAATATCTTATTTTCTTTGTTATTAACATTATATAAATGCAAGAGACTAGATTTGTTGCTGGAAATTGCTAAAGTTTTATTTATGGAAGTTTAGGACCTTTTCAATGAGTTAAAAACACATAAGAAGGAAGTATCTACTTTGCTATTTAATATTTGGTAGTAGTGTTTAGCTTTCTTGAAAAAAAAATTCTGGTTTATAACCTTGATGCTAAAATTTAATTTAGGTAAATAGAGGAAATCCAGCAGTGTTATGAAAACATTTAATTTTCATTTCCAGAGCCTTTACTCAAGGTACAGTTACATGATAAACAAAAATTACAAAGTCCGTATAAATGTTAATTTCTCAAAGGATAGATTGCAATAAAGATACTGATACAGAAGTAATTTTTTGTTTTTGTTTCAATTTTGCTCCCAGTTCCAACTGCCTGATCAGAGAACTTGGGTAAGTTTCCTACTTATATTTTTGACTAAAATAATGTAGCATTAAAAGGAAAACAACTTATATTATAAAATGCTATGCAGACATAAAGAATTCTGAGCCGCTTTCCATTAAATGATACGGCTTCAGCGGATTGCTTTCCAGCTTCGTCAAGCTGCAAAATACTTTTCCATTTTAATTGGGCATTTAGTGTGCTATAAATTGTTTACAGAAAGAAGTTTACTTTATAAATTTGACCCATTTCATGTAATTATACCTTGATGTAGAACTGTTTCTCGGCACTGGGGAGTATGTCGTTAAAAGAGCCTTCGAGATGGGTCACTAAGTGGAAACAACCATTATTTGGGGGAGCCTGTATCAGCATGTTAAAGATGCTTTTGATAAAGCCTTCAAAAGGTTAAAACCTGAACTTACATGTAGACACAAGCTGACATTGGAATTCACATCCGTATATCCCAGGGCTGAACTTGGTTCTGGCTATTTGGAATAATAAGACTAAATGTTTAAAAATCCATATCTAACTAGTGAATGAATCTTTCAGCCTTGGGGCTCACTTCCTCAACTTTCAGTTCCTGTTTCCAGATTCAGTCAGTTGTCAGGTAATGATACTAGGGGACAGCTTTATTTTTATTTATTTTTATTTTTTTGTTCAAGATACAAAGAAGACTGCTTGCTTAGTTTTCACTCTCAAAACTTGAGTCGATGGAAATACATATAAATAACATATATTACAAAATTTCCTCTGATTATATGTACTTCTACTACTTCATTCTCTTCTTTACTCAAAACTATTCTGATTCTGAGATATGTGTAAAATCTTGGACTATAGTTTAGTCTTTTTGGTCACCATATAATGATAGATAAATTATTTTAAGTCGGAGCACTTTAGCACTTATTTTAGCACCTATTTCCTCTATCTGACATTAGATTTTCTTTACCAGAAATTCATCCATTTTATTTCTTCCATGGAGTATGTGATGAACTGTGATTTTTCTCATTTTGATAGACATTTAAAGATTAAGTTCATTTATTCCAAAAGAGATTAAGAGAAGACAAGAGAAGAGGGAGAAGAGAAGAGAGAGGAAAAGAGAGAGAGAGACCACGACTTACTTAGACAAATTTGTACAGCTGATGGGGCTGTGCTTTGATTACACTGTCTATATTTCCAGCGTTCCTCTTCTGTCCTCCCTGGCAGAGGTCCATTCTGAGTATTGTGGCGCAGGGTCCTCATCCTTTCTAAGGTGGAGTGTTACTTGACAGTACCTATGTGGTTGGCTGCTTCATAAGATGCTGTCCCCTACGTAAATGCCCAATGGTTCTACATATACAAAAGCCAATTCAGATTTTAAGTTAGTCTCCCTTTCCTGCTAATACAATGGTATAGAAACTGACATTGTAATGCTTTGGAAACACTCACATTCCCTAAATCATAGAGTTTTCAGAGCCATGGTTTATATTTGTATTATAAAACATAGATATTAGTGGGAACTACTAAAATATTAAAGTTTACAATTTTAAAGGTAAACAGATTCTAAGGGATTTCATAATCATGACCACTGAATGTGATACATGGAATGAGATAGCCATAAACTATGAATACTTACCTCTCCCCCAAATGGCCATGATTTTGAGATTTCTCAAGATTATCAACTGAACAAATATAGAAGTCCACCAAATCTACAAACTTTCCCATCATAAGTTATTTATGAAAAGTTAGTTGTTTTATGATAAAGGCATGTGTAATCTAATTTGTAAAACATTAGGTCACATAATTCATGGTGCCATTGGACATATCATTTCATATAATCAGATTGTCACTTTAATGGTTTTAATGAGAAACTTCTTTATGTCATCAATTATTGGCTGCCAGATAATAAATGTTAAGCTAAGTGCTTAGGACCCACTTGATGATATCTTGCCTGCTGAAATGTTTTTAAAAATACTAACTTTATTTGACTAGAGAGATAGCTACATTTTTTGGTAGGATCTAGGGAATTCTGTCTAAATATTAGTTTGCGTCAGTATAAAGTTAATAGCCTCTTGGGGATGGAAAGGGGGTGCAATGACTTCCTCTTCCAGACATCTGGGCTGCAGATACCATCAACAGCTATTATATATATAAATAAAAATTACTGTTCCATAGAAAAAAAACCTGTCATTTACTGATCAGAGATTAGCCTATGACATTAATAGGACACAGGGCAATGCATTTCTAAAATATGTGATCTAATTTTTCCTCTTTTATTTTCCCCATTCTCAGCAAATTTCTTTTTCATAGTAGTACACATTGCCCTCTTCATTGGATTTTTCATAAATTGAAATATGCAATTAGCTAGATTCTGTTCCATAGATCCCAGTTCATGTTGATTTTTAACATACCAAGCCAGACTTCCAAATGAATGTCAAAACTTGCTACTTCTCTTGTAAAAGGGATGTTATTTCAGGAAGACCATCATACAAGTCAGCGCACAGAGTGAGAAAGTTAGGGCTTGGACCCATGCACCAGATGAAGCTCATCTTAATCCAACACCTTAATCCAAGACAGAGGCAGACTGATGTTGGTCATAGAATTGCTAGCCTATCCAACTGGCAGATGTCTAAGTCACTTCTGTCCTTCCTAATGGGGAAACATATTCTTTTCAACTGAGGTCAAGTGCTGTGAGAGCAAATCTTACAAAGATGAAAGGGAGGATTCGGTGGTGGCTTTTATGTTTGGTGGTTGCTAACTGGACAGAGTGGTGTGTGGGTGTGGGTGTGCATGAGTGTGTGCGTGCTTGCGTGTACACATGGTGTTAATAACTACCCTCGGCTCACTTCCCATCTTCCTTCTCTCCCTTTTCTTCACTCCTATTTAATCCTGTTTTCCTTTAATGTGAGAAACCAAAGGTAGGTGGTGGCTTTTAAGAGAAGCATTCAGGTCACCCCCATTTTTTTTCCTGTTATCTTTAAGAATGTCAGTGTTTAGTCATCAAGCCCATAGTGTATTTTCTTGTTTCTTGATAGTTTCCCCAAATTGAAATAATTTGAGGTAATGTAATCACAGCAATCTTTCTTCAAAAGGAGGTATTAGCGACTACTAAAGCAAGACACATTTCTCAACAGCCACTTGCTCTTAAATAACCTGAAGAACTTGTAGTTTATATGTGCTAGAGATGAAAGCCGAGAATAATAGTCATGAGTAAGCTATTTTCCATATAAAAGGCAAAGTGTTTCTATAAGATATATTACTGCAGGAATCTGAGTGTGTCAGCAGGGCGGACACTCAAATGATTTAAAACCTCTAGATAATGAAACTTTACTCAAATATTAAATGTACATAAATAAAACATTAATAATCATCACCCATGCACTTACTCTTCCCAATAAATATATGCGATTGTGACCCTGACCCTTGCTTTTTTCTGTTAATCAGCTTGAAGGCCAGAGGTCATTTTTCACTTAGACAATTTATTCCACGGAGGGTGGAATATCAAAATGATTTTCTGCAAGAAACAATTAGGAGGAATAAATACAAATAAAATAGAATCATAAAATATTTCTGGATTGATTTTTAATAAATAAAACCCAAAGTAAGATGAAAATGCTAATGCTCCGGCTGGAGGAGGATAATGACCGTATTCTGCAGGGACAGAGTTTCCGCCAACCTCTCTGAGCAGCATCATCATTCCATATCTCTGCCCTGTGATCAGTAGGTGTCAAAATCCTTCATAGTGACAAATGTGCTGTCCACTTGCATCTGTGGAGAATGTTTTAGCAGCTGAGTGATTATGAATCAAACCCCTAAGCTTAGAGCCCCTACCGCCTCCCAATGCGTTCACATTTGTTGTCTGACAAGTAAATGTATCTTGACTTTCCTCCGAGATTTTTTTGCACGGTGTTTGATGAAAGACATTTGGCAAATTGGCAGTGGTACCCTGTACGTTGCAATTTGTAGCTAGCATTAGGAGTCCGGGCATGAAATGAGAGGGCAGGCTCCGGGATAAAGGGAAAAGAGAGAGCTAACTACAACATGAATAGTCATTTGAAGGATTGAGCATACACTGTTCCCTTTGTAAGAAAAGGATCATCGTCTGGCCGTTCAGTGAAGATTTTGCTTCACTGTAAGGAGTCACTGGTATTCTGTCCAGCTGCACGGCCACGGAATAGAGATTTTGTTAATTTTCATTTTGAGTGCAAAGTGTTGCGTTTTCTTTCTATCCTGAGCTCATAAATTAGGCCTTCAGTTCGGTCCTGCCATCCCATCAGTGAAAGAATCCTCCCCTTGGGTTAAGCAGTTGTTTGAATGTGCAGTTGTTACTGTTCTTGTCCTTGTGTGGAGTCTCCTGGTCTAACACCCCAGCTCTTTGAGAAACTCAGAGTGCATCTAGAGTGCAAACACCTTTTTAACAGCTTTCTGAGTTCTCCAGTGGCATAATGCCTGAGAACCAAATAAATAATGGGTGAGTTGATTTAACAGGATGGCCTGAGAGTTTGCTTTTCTACTTAAAAATTCAGTAGTAAGCAGCTTCCAAATAAAATATGAGCACTAAGGAAACCTAACATTTTGGGAGGGTTGAAGGAAAGGGGAGAGCCCTTCTAACTGAGGATGGTAAGGATCAAGCTGGCTTTCAAAGGAAATGCCACCCTCCGATTGTGACTGTCAGATGTATGTGCAGGTGGACAGAAACGTGAAGATTATAAGCAAAATAAATTAGGTTGTTTGAGGGGAAGAATTAGGCAGGATAGTGTTTTAAGATTATTTCTCTAAGAGTGTGGTTAGGCTAACTACTCCCCTTATAACGTCCGTGCCAAGTTCTATTACATGAAGTCATGATGATGTATCATGAACTGTCATTTCAACTCAGTCTTTGCTCGGAACAAATTAATATTTCTTCAAAATTCCTTGTATATGATCCCACTTAAAATTGTAGTATATCCAGATATTAAGTTAACCTAGTCCTGGGCTAAACACCTCTTCTGCCTTAATTTTTTCCTTTCTACACTACACACATTTGGCTTAAGCTGTAACTTTGGAACACTTGATGTGTTTGGCGCTGTGAATTCTTTATGTGCAATGCCATGCGTCCTGTGGTTTTTATTACCAAGGCAAGGCATGCGGGACCTCTCCGTGAATGTGCAGCTCACTAATGTATAGTGTATAGTATATAATGTATAATGTAATAGTAATGTTGTCTCTTAATTTAATAAAAAGCTTTATTATCGCTCATGTATTTCATTGCTCAGGTCTATATCAAATTATGACAAAATGGCCTAACCAAGGTCTTTTGAAGAAGTTTAGCCAGCATTCTATGAGCATGGTTCTCTACCTTTGTTATTTCCTAAGTCAACAAGTCCTCTCATTGTTCTGTCTATTTTTGGGACACTGCAGCCTTTTTCTCCAGTCCACCGTGGTCAGCAGATGTGATGCTTCCCCTTTCTTAACGATTTCTTGGTTTGCTAGAGATGATTATGGAAGAACAGACATCAGACTGGTCCTTCATGGTCTTGTGCTCTTGCCTTTCAGATGTCAGCTATTGAAAACATGGCGGAGAAGCTGGAGAGCTTCAGTGCCCTGAAACCGGAGGCCAGTGAACTTCTGCAGTCAGTTCCCTCCATGTTCAACTTCAGAGCACCTCCCAATGCCCTGCCGGAGAACCTGCTTCGGAAAGGGAAAGAACGCTACACCTGCAGGTGACCGCAGGGCCCGTGATGGCCCACTTTCCCCAGGTCTCCCCTCTGATTGCAAAAGGCCCTGCTGTTTGTTTTGGAAATTATTCTTGATTGGATGATTAATCATGACCATGATAGATCTCCAGCACTTCAAAGTACTCTTTATTTAGGGAGATATAAAAATAGTGGTTTTAAAAAATTACTATTAAATGAGAATTTTAACACAGGCCATTTGGTTGTGATAAATGAGGTTGGAAAGAGTCCAAATACTTGTTTCACTTTGATATTTATGAATTTTCTTTCACAGTTAATTATTTTCATCCGAAGGTATAATACTACTGTCTTCGAGCATACATTTATTAATTGTCATGGCATTGAAGAATAAGGCCATTAACAAAGGACGAATAGGGTCGATAAGTGAAGAAAGCTAGTTAATAAGTTTCTTGTTACCCATCAGTAATACAGTAAAGCTTGTTTTTTTTCTTTGTTTATTTTCTTTTCAATAAATTGTGCTTATAATTTCTGAATTGTCTTCGGAAATTTGTGGCATCTGACTCAGGCATATCAATTTATCTGCTCTTTGGAAAATGTGTCACTTTCTTTCCAGAAAAGCTTTTATAGGAACATACCTTGATGGATGGGGTCTTCGAATCTTGTCTGATCTGATACCACTCAATGTACCAAGTTGTCACTGCGGCTAACATGTAAAATGAGTTGAAACATTTGAAATCTGTTTACATCAGCCCAGAATCACAGACTCTTGTCATTTTCTTATCCCCTTGTCTGGTTCAGTTTTGCGACTATAAAGATACAGAGTTAATAACAGAGGCGTATGGGGGTCATCAAAACTAAAGTCTATTTTCATAAAGTGCTTGCTTATGCATGAGCAAATTCAACTAGATCTCATAATGCAGCCTTTATTCGTGGAGTTATTTATATCTGTAGAATGGCTTTGTTGCAAATTTTAAATACCAAAGACATGTGAGTTCCATGCAAGATTAATTAAATCAGGAATCAGCATCTGGCTTCTACGCGGCTTGAGTGAAATAAAGTCGATTGTGCTGACTTTCTCTTATAAACATCTTTCATAACAGATACTGTGGCAAGATTTTTCCAAGGTCTGCGAACTTAACACGGCACTTGAGAACCCACACAGGAGAGCAGCCTTACAGGTTTGACAATGATTTTTACTAAATACCTTGGTAAATGTTACAGTAATTAGAGTGGGTGTATTTGCCATAATTTTAAAGGAGGCTGTTTAGTGCATGTCTGTGTGTCCTCACAATTTTGAGTCAAAGAAGAACGGACTAGTAGCTAGGATAAAAGGTAGAAGAGTTCTAATTTTTTAAATCAAGGCTTTGGACATCTCAGTTTAAAAGGTCTAGCAGGATCTAGACCTAGGATCTAGATCTAGATCTAGGATAGAATAAGCATTTAAGAAATGTTAGCTTTTTAAAGACCATTATTATTGTTTTAGTGAGAGAGAGTATGGGGTGGGGAGAGGCAGAGAGGGAGAGAGAAAGAAAATCTAATTAAGCAGGTTCCATGCCTAGCACAGAACCTGACACGGGGCTTGTTCTCACCACCCGGAGATCATGACCGGAGCCAAAATCAAGAGTCAGACGCTTAACTGTCTGAGCCACCAGGTACCCCCATTTAAAAAACCATTTAATGCTCTCTCTCCTCAATAACTGGTGCAGTATTAATTGACAGTAATCAGAACATTGCAGCCTCTCTTTCTCAAGTCTTAAATCTCTGTGAGGAGTTGACAAGTGGTGTGTAACTTTATTTCCCTGGTGTAGCTCCATATGTGTCCCCAGGTCCCATTAAATGGTTTAAGGAATAGACCTTAAACCTGGAGAAGCGGGAGACGGTAAGGAAGTAGGGGCAGAAAAGATGAAATAGACTATATTATAGGAAGAGGGGAAATTCTACCAACAATTTCTGAACTATCTCTTGGCTTATTCTATTAAATGTCAAAATCAGCCACGTGACACATGGGACAGGTGTCTAACTTTAATATTATTGTTTACTAAAGAATGAAAATTATCAAGATCCTCTTCAGTTTTAAAATACAATTTACATTGGGGCGCCTGGGTGGCTCAGTGGCTTAAAATACAATCTACATTGTTTTATGTGCAATGCTTTGCATATAGTGCTAGGTGGTCGTAAATAATTTTTAAAGAATAAATGTGATTTACCTTAAGTCACATCGTGATTTCATTCTGCTTTGAAATTCTTATGCAGTGCATATGCTTAAGATTATTTTTGTCTGCATGTTCTCTCTTTCCATTAAAATCAATTATTTTTCAGGTTTCAAAGACTTTCTTACACATAAGAAAAAAGAAAGTGGGCAGATCAATGAATGCTCATTTGAAAAGAATTGATATTTTAAGAGAGAACTGGAGGGACTTAAGCTCAGCAAATAATAAAGTGTTTTCTTAAATTCTTTCTTTCCTACATGTTTTATAAATTACTAGTCAGAAATGATACTTCTACTTTAATAGAATGGACTTTATAGAATAAGTCTCAGAGAGATATAAAAATGGAAGTTGTTAGGTGATTTCCCTTTTTGAGAAAAATTTCAGATCCCAGGAATTCTGCTTCAGTGAAGGAAAGATTTCAGCACTTATATTTTATTATGACCAAGGATCTGGTCTCGACTATATCGTGCTCATTTTGCTCTGTACTTGAATTCAGTGGTTTTAGTCTACTCCATAAATGGCATGTTTATTTTTAAAAACACAGGCCAGAATTTTGGCATAGCTAGAGATCTTAAACAATTATTTGTCTAGCTCCTCTGTTTTACAAGTGAAGAAATTCAGATGCACAGATGTTAATTGCCTTCTGTAAAGCCTGGTATTAAAAGATCCAGAATTAAAACCCAGACTTGGAGCTCCCATGTCAGAGTTTTTATCTCACACCATGATCTCAAAGGCTCCCATGACCCCTGTGTTTACATCCAAATTCTTAATGAGTGTATTGGTCATGATATATGTGTTCATTTTAAGAATTTTTAGAAACTTAGACTCCTAACTACCCTAACTAATTTATTGAAGCAGAAAGCAATGATTTTTTTTTTATTCAGTAGCACTCAAAACTTTTGGCCAAGACATTAGCAGAGGAAAGATACAAAAATAACAGATGATTATTGTGTAGAATGCTCTCTTATTGGCTGATTTTATCTATATTAGTGTAGATGATGTCTATTAGATTTGGAAAAGCCCCTTTGCATACGAGTAGAAAGCTGGAAGTGTGTCAAAGGCAAAATCTCTCTAATTCATGATGTTCATAGAAAATGTTTTGAGTGAAAAATGTTTGATAGGAGTGTTAAGTTTTCTCTAGTAGCATTTTTGAGGTGGTTCTGGTCAGTACAGCACAATTGTGCTAATTGTATCATTATTCTCATTGTAGTGGGCCTTGGGAGTCAACAGAGTTATTGCAGAGGAGGCCATGACTCATATATATATATTTTTCAAAAGCAGAGGCTAAAATAACACAACTACTATGAATGTGGGGTCTCACGCATTTTTAAATTAATATTGTAAGTGAGGAAAGTTGAGGAGCCTCATCATGCCAGGACAGTTTTTTAAAGGGGAAAAATGAAATCAGTCCTTGAGTTGGTTTATTGATACTATGCCAAAGTAACTAGTTTAACAGATTTATTTTCCCCACTGAACTAACTAGACTTCTGGCATCACGTAGAGACAGCCGTAGAAACCCAAACACTTCGAGTGGAATGGGGTGATTTCTGATGTAGAGCACTCGAACCACTGAGTCTATGTTCAGAAGCGGGGAGAAGGGCCCTTCACATATGGAGGAATAAGTTCAAGATTGGCTGCTAGGTTAAAAATTTTCACTTAAAAGTCATCTAGAGAAAGCTCTTTTTTTCTTCTTCTTCTTCTTTTTTTTCTTTTTAAGCAACACACTTACAAAAAAGTCACACAAACAATGCAATCTTTACTTTAAAATGCCAAAGGAGACTACCCCATAAATTGTCACTTTTCTTCTTGATCTGTAAGAACTGGGGGGTGTATGGGGTGAGGAGGATATGTTTTTACTTATGTTTAAAGGAGAACTTCAAAATAACTTATGAATTTTTTTAATCACATGGAAGGCAGAAACAATTAGCCATCCAATAATAAGTGTTTTCCTGGAAAACCAACCTGGTTCAGAAATGCCACAAACTCTGTAAGAACAGAAATGGAAAGTTGGGGGGAATAAGAAGAGCAGAGATAATGAAGACTTTATTTTATTCCAAAAGTAGAATTTAGTTCCACTTTTACTTTCTTTTTTAACAGTTCAAAGGTGGGGGTGCCTGGGTGGCTCAGTGGGTTAAGTGTCTGATCCTTGGTTTCCGTTCAGGTCATGATCCCAATGTCCTGGGATTGAGCCTTGCAGCCCACTTCATGATCAGTGGGGAGTCTGCTTCTCTCCTTCTTTCTCTGCCCCTCCCCATTCACACACACTCTCTCTCTCAAATAAATAAATAAGTCCTTTAAAAGATATAGTTTAAAGTTTATTAGAGTAAGGGCTCTGGGGTCTTGTAATCACTACAGATTATGAAAATTTTATTGTCTGGTGTCAAGATAAACTATTCACGTTGCCTCAGTTTTTAAAGGTTTGGATTCTTTACTGCTCTTTTTGAGAAGATAATGGAAGTTCCTTTAGGTTTATCAATTGAGAAAGTGAATCTACCAAAAAACTGTTTAATCTGACTTTGCAATTTTGAATTTAAGAGTGATCTTTTACTTAATTTGAAGAATACGTGAATTTGTTTCATGTTTGTTTACAAATGATTTATCGGTATTGTCCTAAGTCGAAGGTAAAACCACACTACTATTTCTTAATGTCCTTAATTCTGTGAGGTTTATTGAAAACATGAAAACTGATGACCTTAATAAATTTGGAACCAATCAAATTGTCGATATTTTATTATGGTTTTTCGTAAAGTCATGAAAATCTTTAATGGAATCAAGGTCTATTGAAATTGAAATCTTGGCTGTGGAAATAGTGTTCTTCTTTTTCATTTTCTCTAAAATGTTTTATGGGTGATAATTTTGGATATCTGGCTTATGAGTCTTGAGAAATATCTTTGGATTTGCTTGCAAATATTTTCTTTGTGCTTATTTTTCAGATGCAAATACTGTGACAGATCCTTTAGCATCTCTTCCAACTTGCAGAGACACGTTCGTAATATCCACAATAAGGAGAAGCCCTTCAAGTGTCACTTATGTGATAGGTGTTTCGGTCAACAAACCAACTTAGACAGACACCTAAAGAAACATGAAAATGGGAACATGTCTGGTAGGTAATCCGTTGTGTTAGGAGGAGAAGACAGCTCAATTTTCTTATTTTAAAAGATAATCATGAATAATATTGTATGGCAACTATACTTTTTAAAAAAGAGATAATTATGACCTTTCTTCTCTCCTTTCACTTTGACACCAGAAACAGATCCTAAAATTTGCAGTGTGTTTCCCTTTAGATTATAGAGTGCCGTGATTAGTGAATAATATACAACTCAGGACCTTATTTGGATTGTTTTCTTATTCTCCTGGATTCATCTCAATTATGGGTAATCTCAAACAAAGAGAACCATGACCCAATCTCATAGGAGAGTTATGAATCAAGATTTCCTAAATTGCAGGGAGCAATCTTTCTGCATATTGGTGCAAAATGGGGACTCCGGGCATGGCAATGTTTCCGCAGTGGCAGCCCCAGAATATTGTGCTCTGAATATTAACTTAGAAACCATGACTGTGTTTGCAGAGGCCCTACAGTTCAGAGAATATCCCCAGGGTAACTCTTCAGAGATCAGTGATCGAAGATTGTTGACATGATCAGAGCAACCCATAGCAAACGACAGTGGCGTGTGGTTTGGGTCATAAATTCTGATATAGAATTGAGTTAAAAGTGGCCAAAAAGCCCTAGCCTTCCCTTAAGTCAGACTTGCCAGCACATAGTTAGCAGAAGAGATGGTAGTTTTTCTTGCCTTTGGCTTCTAAGATAATGAATCATTAATTAGTATTTGCCAACTGGTATATGTGTTTGGAGCCACACTGTGTGGCTGTAATTTGTTTCAAGAGAATCAAGAAAATGCCTTGGGGGCAAGGGAAGGAGCAAGCAATGGGCTCAGGAAAAGAGATTTTAAAAACAGGAAAATGTTGAAGTTGTACAAAATAGCTATTTTTACTTAAGGAAATTATTTTATTATTAATCCTTCTCCCCTTGTACACAGGCACATTGGTTACGATCTTGAAGGGCTACTACATAGAACTGTATTACTGTTTATTTCCCTCTAGGCCAAAAGTCAAATGACTGTGGTCTCAAGATACCAGATTTTAGAGACAGAAGTATAAAGCAGTCAAAGTCTAAACTGGCCACATATTCCAACCACGTGCACCCTTATGGCATTTTCCCATAATTTTTCTAATCAAAAGTATACTGTTTTTGTTTTGTTCTTTTAAAGATTTATTTATTCCAGAGAGGCAGAGGGAGGGGCAGAGGGAGAGAGAGAAGCTCAAGCAGACTCCCCATTGAGAAAAGAGCCTGATGTGGGGCTCGATCCCAGGACGCCAAGATCATGACCTGAGCTGAAGTCGAGAACTGGCTCCTTAACCAACTGAGCCACTCAGGTGCCCCTAATCAAAAGCATTTTGGAAAATAATTAAATGAGTTAAAAATGTAACATGTCTAAGTTCAATACTTGTTACCCGAGATTATAACTTTATTCAGCTGAGAGATGTTCTCCCCTCTTATCTTGGTCATCTGGACTATTAGGATGAACTGTTAGATTGTAGACATCTTGTGGGAAAGGTAATCAGCATGAAGTAAGTGTTGGTGTAAATTTGACCACATATAAGGTGTTTATAGTTGTGTAAATTTATAAAAACCTCACAAACATCCTGTGAGAAGGTATTCTGATTCTAGTTTTATAGTTAAGGAAGCTGAAAATCATCTTAGAATCAGCAGATCCCATATTGTCCGTTTAATGCTGTCCCACCTCAGTTTCTGGGCTGGTGTGCTAAGTCTACTCACTGCCTCACCCACCAAATCAGAATACAGAATTTTTGGCATGTTTTCAGTCTCTATTTGGTAATGTGCTTTAGCACAGGAGCAATAAATACATACTGACTGCAACCAGAACTGAGTATAGAGTTTCTTCGGGAGGAATCTATTTGGGGCTTCTTTAGAAATTGCTTCACCCCATTTCCTCATTTTACGAGTGAAAATCTCCTCTTGTCACAGTGGGAATGGAAGGAAGCTGTGGGAGAAACATCTTTGGGAGACTGTACCACATGACTTCAGTGGTTCAGAATATTCCCCAAGGTACTTTCATCAGCAAGCGTGTGGTAATTTGGGAAGACGTTGGCCTCCTGAAGTTACCATTATTAATATTCCAAAGAGCCTGTTTTAGGAAACACTGATCAAATGAAGAAGGAATGAGGTTCAAAATAAGTTGTTCATATCAATAGTATTCTTTTCCTCAAAAGACTCTCTCTCCCCAGGTACGGCAACATCGTCGCCTCATTCTGAGCTGGAAAGTACAGGTGCCATTCTCGATGACAAAGAAGATGCTTACTTCACAGAAATCCGCAATTTCATTGGGAATAGCAACCACAGCGTCCAGTCTCCCAGGAACACAGAGGAGAGGTAAAGCTGAGTTTTTCCTTTTTAAACGCTCTGATTTCTGAAATAAGTATGTTCCAAATAGATTTGCTGTGCTCACTTTTGTGACACACTGTAACTTCTACCAGCGGTGGCTGGCATTTCTTTAGTACAGATTAAATACTAAATGCTCTTCTAAGCACTGTCTGTGTATGAATTAATTTAATTATCATAATAGCCCTATGAGGCAGCTACTATTACTATGTAATTTTACCAGTGAAGGAATGGAGACATCACAGGTTAAATAACTTGCCAGAGGCCACATAAGTAATTAATAAATGGGATTCAACCTGGGCCATCTGGTTTCAGAGCCCATGCTTTTACCACCATTCTGTTCTGCTGTTCTTGATAACTAATTAGACTATTTTATCAAAACTTACCAAGCAAAAAGGAAAGCCACCACAGGGATTCAGTTGATTCAACTGTGGCTGCCATTATATATCATGTGTATATTACAGATAATATAACTAGATATACATGTGTGTGTGTATGTGTATATATGTATATACATATATATATATAATTTGTGTGTATATATATATATACCTATCTGTATATAACATACCTATTGAATATCATTTAAATATCTTTTACCTAAAAGGCAGTTGAGACTTCTTGGTATGATTCTGTCACTACCTATGGGCTCTCAGGTGGATATGCATTTAATTCTGGCATGTTTGTTTCAGTGGGTGTGATCATCTCTGTTTTTAGTGACCTGGTGCCTTGCTTACCTCTTGTCATTATCAACCTCAAGCATATATGGCTTAATTCCTAAAGAAAAACTTTTAATGCTTCTGATAATAATACTTACCTAGTATTTACATTTTATATGATGTTAATGAAATATTACTTTACCAAAACTACCAGATTTAATTCTTCTTATCTCTAAGTTATAATTAAATATCTGATATTGAGAACTAGATTTTTTTTTAACATAACTATCCAAGAGCCTGTTCAGTTAGGATGCTGTGTAGTCAATTTTAATGTCAAATGAAATAGTTCATGAAAGCTCCGTTACTTTTCATCACACAAGTATTATTGTTGGTGTCCTCTATTTTTTGATATTATTAAAAGTCAAATAATTGTTTAAGGTAGTTTTTACATTAAGCCAAACTTCACATGAACATTATTTCCCCAGATAAAATTATATATAAAATTCCCCAGATAAAATTATATAACAGAAGAACCTCTGTTCTTCAACTTATTTAGAGGAAAAAAGAGAGAAGATCTGCTTTTACATGACCCTTCCCAAATTCTAAGAAGTCTGATAAGAGCTATGACTTTGTGCAGTTGGACGTATCTTTTCCTCTGCTTGCCCGTGTGTGTGTGTGTGTGTGTGTGTATGTGTAAGACAGGCAGAGGATGGAGGGAGTGAGATGAGCATATGTTCAGAAATACAAAGTAGTGTGTAAGTAGTGCCTTACATTTTGATAACGACATTTACATGACACAAAAGAAATGTTGAACAAAAACCACCATTTGGGTTCTGAGATGCCTTTTCAGATCTTCTAGCCCTTTCTTGGAGATTTGTGAGCCCACATATAGCTGCGACATCTGGCTTCAACATGTCCAAACAGCACAGAAGTAAGAAGATTGAGTCATTTAACTTCCCCCCTCAACTCCTATCGGGGCTACTTTTGATGAATAATTTATCCCCCATAAATTGCCACATTTGAAAGCATAATTAACAAATAGGTTTTCTTAATCATGTTGGCTTTGTTACTTTTGGTTTTCATCCATGCATTCTTTTGTTCTTTTACTTTTTCTTTCATTTTTAAAAAAATAACAGTTTCCATTCAAGCTAGCAAGTTGGCAGTGTATCTGGAAACTAATAATTTATGTCTGTGCAAAACATGCTTTCATCATTCTTTGATAAAGGTGGTTAAGAGATTGGCTGTATAAAAACATTACTAATGATAATACGACTGTTCTTAAGATTTTTACTATGTGCATCTGTCACACCTAACGTTGTTTTGTTTTGTTTATTTATTTACCCCAGAAAATCTAAGTATTTAATTATCTCTTTTTTTTTTAACATGGGAAAGTGATGGATTACATTGCTGATACCTGATCTCCTATAATCTGAAAAATAGTTCTGTTAAATGTGACTAGCCCACATTTCTGTAGCAATAACTTAAATTTCAACAAGCTTTCTGAACTTGGGGGAAGTGCCTTAATTTCCCTGGTCACATATATTTAAAAAGAGGAGATTAGGAGGACATACTCTGTAGTTCAAAGCATTTGTAATTAATCTGGAACTAAGTTAATTTTGACTTTTAAATATTACAATGAAACTTAAATTCAGTTATACATCTTTTTATTTTTTAAGATTTTATTTATTTATTTTAGATAGAGAGAGCACAAGCGGGGAGAAGGAGAGGGACAAGCAGACTCTGAGCTGAGTGTGGATCCTGACATGGAGCTTGATCTGACAACTCTGAGATCATGTCCTGAGCTGAAACCAAGAGCCAGGCGTGCTAAACTGACTGAGCCACCCAGGCGCCCTTCAGTTTATATGTTCTTTCTGTTTATTTTAAAGTTTGAGAGATTTGTCCTGCTTTTATAGATGCTCTCAAATGTATCAAATTGGGACTTCTTTGTAATTAAACCTTTTTTTGTAATTACACATTTGAATCACATATTATAATCCTTGAAACCACAAATCAAAGAATTGCAAAAGACTTTTAGAATAAAATATTCTTCTTTTGTATCACATTAAACATGCATGCTAAGTAAGATTCAAAAGATATTCGCACAATTGCATTTTTAGATAATTGCCCACCCTGATGTTCTTCTGAGAAACAGAGAACTTTGTTACATTCAGACCATTGAGGATAGTTTGAAAACAGTAAAAATAAGTGAGCTCTCCATCATTTCCAAGCTTGAGCAGGATGTCTAAGTGGCATACACCACAAATGTCACCTAGAAATATCAAATACCGCGTGGTCCCTGACAGCTCTCTTAACATTTTCTTTGAACTCCTAGATTCACTCTAGGCGTGTGTGTTGAAGTTTTTGTCAGTGTTGTTCAGGGATATGAATTTTCCAGAAAACTATTATTTTAAATGGTGGGCACTTATATGGTAATTAGTTAACATTATGTAGAGAAGACATATGTAGGCTTTTTATATCATATATAACAGTATCATTTATCAGGCAAAGGTCGGATAAGGAATAGGAGCCTGAGACTATTTTTCTAGCTCTGCCAGAAGCCCCATTTATCCTCTGAATAATCACCCAATTATTGTTTTCTTTATTCTCTCATTTGTGAAGTAACATTACTTTCCCATGGTTGCCATATAGCATAAACAATAAAAATTTCCTGTAGAAGTGCTGAAAATCCTGAACTATTTTTGGGAAGACATGAGAAGAGAGCCAGCTGCACGTTTACAAATGAAACCAATAATGGGACCTGTTTCTTTTTTTTTTGCTTTTGGAAGAATGAATGGCAGTCATTTTAAGGATGAGAAAGCTTTGGTGACCAGCCAAAATTCAGATTTACTGGATGACGAAGAAGTAGAAGATGAGGTGTTGTTAGATGAGGAGGATGATGACAACGATATTACTGGAAAAACGGGGAAAGAACCAGGGACAAGCAATTTACATGAAGGAAACCCTGAGGATGACTATGAAGACGCCAGCACCCTGGAGATGAGTTGCAAAACGTCCCCAGTGAGGTGAGCACCTGGGGTGACATTAGTAAATAAGTAGGCATAGACACATATATGCTTGCAAGTCTGTCTGCTCTGTTTTTCCATTAGGGCAATATTTCAGGCCATGGCAGTGAATCATAAAAAATACATTTGTATTAGAAAACTGTATTTGGTGGATTCATTTTGAATGGGTGAAAACAAGGTAGCCGTCGTAATCCACAAGAATAGAAATGCATCGGTGTCTGTGGAACCCTGATTAACCTGAGATAAGAAGAATAAATGAAAATTAGATGAGTACCCAATCATTTACGTAGACTGTACTGTAAAACTCAAAGAAAAATAGAGATGGCAATATTATCTAATTCATTCAAAAATCTTGTATGTTATTAATCCAATATTAGTGAGATCAGTATCACTTAACTTGATATGTATGTAAACTGTACAGGTAGGTTTTTAAATGGGGAAAAAATGAACCAAGTAGTTAAGTTTATAAGAATATTCTATTTTCATATGGAGAGTGGGTGCTCACTAAGTCTTATCATGACTGGCTTTATTTTAAATGGACATTATAAACTATAAATTGTGTCTCCACTGCATTGCTGATTCCACACCATTGACTTTACCTCTTGTCTACACTTGCTTTGGTTATGAAGAATCTTAAAACAAACATGTTTTTAAGATACAGTATGTGTAGACACTTTAAAGAACCCAGTAATGGATGCATGCTTCTTGATACTGCAAATATAATACAAAGTTTGACAGCTGTATGGATTCAGATGAAAAGTGATTTGGTTGGATAACAAACTGAGAAAGAAAGAAAAAACCCTCTGTGCTTTCCCATTGGTTCATTTTAGGTATAAAGAGGAAGAATATAAAACTGGACTTTCTGCTCTAGATCATATAAGGCACTTCACAGATAGCCTCAAAATGAGGAAACTGGAAGATAATCAATATACTGAAGCTGAGCTGTCTTCTTTTAGTGCTTCCCATGTGCCGGAGGAACTTAAACAGCCGTTACACAGAAAGTCCAAATCACAGGTACATGTTCTCCTGCAGCACAGCGTCATGGCGACATGGTGCCTTGGGCACCAAAAGGCAGATAGTCTTTCTGGGCAATGCTCTAGAGTCTGAACAGGTTCAGTTGCTTGACTCAAAACTTTCCTACCTTGACCCTATGACCGAATCCAAGATGGTTCACCAGCATAGCCATGAACATGGCTGCCTTCCGCACAGATGCTTCCATGACAAACCTTGTCCTCCAGTAGGTTTTCCCTGACTTTGCAATTCTCTCACTTCTGTAGAGGTAGTCCATAATGTTCACACCTATTTCTGTATGACTTCGGAGGGATTTTTTCATTAGTTTGCATCTGTAATTCTTGTCAACCTAAGTGTATTTCCAGACTTTGGTCCCTCATTATATGTAGTTAATTAACAAGTCATCTAATTTATAGCATTTAAGATATAAAACTATTAAACTGAGGATCAGAGAGGAAATGAGTTGCCTGAAGTCTGTAGCATCTTACTGGCAGAGCTGGAAAGAAAGCCAATTTATTTTTAATTGAATGATTGAATGAATAGTACATTTATTGGGCTCTACGGCATTCTATCAGCACTGTGGAAACAAAAATAAATCCATTTAAGGATCCATAAATACCAATTAAAAGAGCCTCAGTTCTTTATCACAAAATAAAGGAAGTCAGTACTTTCTGCTGACATTCCCTACTCAGCCACATTGTTCAATTCATTTGGGTTAATCACAAAGAAGAAGAAGAAGAAGAAAAGAAGCTTCCTGTTATTACCATATTTATTGGTCACTTTGGTCTAATTGAAGGTGAGCCCACTTTGGAGGTGGCCTGACATATCAAACCATGTGACTGCATTGGCTCGGACATTTAGAAATGCTTTCCAATTTGGCTGAGATGTTTTGGCCTTAGCCATTTGCTCTTAGCAGCAAATGTGGTCATATCTCAACTAACATGGGAAAAACATCGTGCTAGTGGGTTAATGTAAATTCTTAACTCTTGGTCAATTCAGTAAAAATTGAAGGTATCATGTAAGGTAATAACAGGCAAAAGGAATGTTCATTTTGCATTGAAGTAGAGGCAGCTCCTTACCCTCAGATCTTCTAGCTGCATGAACTTAAGAACATCACATCAAGACTGTGGGTGCCACTTCTTCATTGTCAGGTGGGGTGACTGGAGGCCATATCTAAGGTCTCTCCCTGGTGTATGATTCAATGGGGATAAATATTAATTTTTCAGTTCCTAACATTAACAATAACTTAGCCAGAGTAGATATCTCATTTTTACTTGGACATAACCATCAGAGGTAGTGAGTATTTTTTTAAATCCTTGGTATCCCATTCTTCCTTCCTAATTGATCGGAGACATATCAGGGGATGTAGGATTTCTTCCTTTCCTTTCCTTTCCTTTCCTTTCCTTTCCTTTCCTTTCCTTTCCTTTCCTTTCTTTTCCTTTCCTTTCCTTTCCTTTCCTTTCTTTGCCTTGCCTTGCCTTGCCTTGCCTTGCCTTTCTTTTCCTTTCCTTCTCATTTCATTTCTTTTAATTATTCCACCAAAATCCTTATAAGACACAGTACCTAAAAATTCCTGAAGCTGTCCAGAATGACTGAAAGCAGAAAGGTCAGGGAACCCAGAGATGATAGATATGGTCTATTTCAGTACGAGCATTGTGACATAAAGTCCCTGCCTAGCTGGACTAACAATTACCATCACAAAAAATGCTAGGGTCTTTCTTGTATTTTTCATGTTACTTGATCACACCGTATATATCAGTTTAAATATGGTCAGGCCTTTTTGCAAACTAACTTTATTTCATGAGACTTTTTATTCATTCATTCAATTGTTACTCACTGTCAGTGATGTTCAAGGAGCAGATCTTTGTACATGAAAATGTGTATTTTATTTGATTACCAAAAAGCAAGTATTCTATATTTACCATTTTCTAGAATCTGAATAGAGATAGATGAGTTACTCAAAACATTCATATATTTACTCTGATTTTTATAGTGATTGAATCCAAGATAGCTGAACAATACAACAGTGGCTGCATTCTGCATAGACACCTCTTTGAAAATTTCTATCCTAAAAATTAATTTCATGACAATAGGTAGTCTTTATATCCAGCACTCTATGTTAATTAATGCTTATAATTCCTTCACAGCCCTTTGAGACAATTTTTTGTTATTATGATCCCCATTTGGTAGGAGAAAAGTGACCCTGAAAGGTAAAGGAACTTCCCCAAGGTCACACAGCTAATTGAAGAGAGGTCAGTTAGAAGCCAGGAACCCAAAGTTTTCTCTAAGTTTCCTTTCATTTTTTCCAAATATTGGAATAGGCTTTGTTAAAGCCATTTCAGAATACTCTTTATCTTGATCTCTAAAAGCGGGTACTTAATAAAAAGTTCAATGAGTTCAGTGCTCACCTCGCTCATATTTTAAACTCTTCAAAGAACAGGGATTGTATATTACTTGTCATTGATTCCCTAGGACCTAACACAGTACCTGGTGTAGAGTAGATGCTTAAGAGTTTTTTGTTATATGTCTGTTGAGATTTTGTAGAGGTCCAGAAGGCAAATTGCATACATAAAAGTCAAATGTATGCATTGAGAGCAATGACCCAGCAAATCAGAATCAGCCTACAAGGGCAGATTTTCTAACTGAATGCCATGATTACGGAAGAAACCACAGATTGGCCACATGTCTCGGCATGACTCTCAGAGATGAAATTCTGCTTAACAACAGAGGCATTTGGTCTTTGTTTACAGACAGTGGAATGTCTTTGGCAGGACTTTAATGATCCCACTGTAGCAGCATTTTTGACAGGCAAGTTTAGCAGTGGATGAGACCAACAATAGCAAATCAACAGTGAAAAGTTCACTCACAAGTCAAGACCAAACATTTCGTTTGACTATTTTACTTGGCAGCAAATGGGAGATTCTCTGGAACAGTTACTTAGAATTGACATGATAAGAGGGAAAAAAGAGCACTTCTTCACAGAGCACTGCCATGTACCTTCTGCTTGGCAGACACTGGCGTACAAGTTGGTCAGAACATTGTTGGGTCTTGTGTTGTATTTTATTTTTCGGTAAAGCTGACTTGACCTACCTGAGCTTGCAAGGTTTTGGGTAGTCAACTTTGAATATCTCAAACATGGAGGGAAACCAGAGAAAGGACACTGGATTAAAAATTGGGCAGAAATCACTTGTGCTTCTGCCTCTCCACTGTCTATTTGAGTGACTCGGGGCAAGTTGTGTCACCTTCAGCACTAACCCTCTCAGTTATAAAGTGCAGGAATCGATGGGAAGGTGTCCCCTCTAGACCCCAGTACCATCAAAGCAGGTCTATGTCTGCTTCATAGTTGCAGTTTCAATCGTAAGCACACAATAATATTTTTGGTGGCTTGAACAGGTGCACAAACAGTGGCTGGATGACATATTTATGCTGGGTAGGGGGATGACTAGTGTTTCTCAGTGGAGACACTTGACATTTTCGGTTGGACAATTCTTTTTTTTTTTTTTTTTTTTTTTGGTCCTGTAGGACATGTACTTTTGTGGTCCCCAGGCACTGAAGACCAGCAGTAACACCACGTCATTACAATGACAAAAAGGGGCCCATGCTTTTCCAAACACATCCATGAGGGATGCTCCTAACTCTGAGTCCCATTCCCCCAACAATATTCTTTGAATTAAAAGTGATGTTTTTCAGTGCCACTTACCAAGTCTCTCTTTTTTACCCCAGGCATATGCTATGATGTTGTCATTGTCCGACAAGGAGTCCCTCCATTCTGCATCCCACAGTTCTTCCAATGTGTGGCACAGTATGGCAAGGGCTGCAGCAGAATCCAGTGCCATCCAGTCCATAAGCCACGTATGACATTACCAAGGTCGACCAGAGTGGGACCAAGTCCAACAGTAGCATGGCTCTTTCATCTAGGACTATTTAAAAGACTGCTGAGCAGAATGCCTTAGAAACCTGAAGGGTCACTCATTTAAAGTCTGGTGACCTTAAACTGAATGCTTAAAAAAAAAAAAGAAAGAAAGAAAGAAAGAAAGAAAAAGAAAGGAAAAGAAAGAAAAAAGAAACTATTTATTCTCGATATTTTGTTTTGCACAGCAAAGGCAGCTGCTGACTTCTGGAAGGTCAATGCAACTTAACGTGATTCAGTGAGAATGAGCAACTTGTGGGCAGGAGGCGTCCTGGTCCACCCTGCCCTGGGCTGTGGGCGGGCGCGAGGGCTGTGGGGATGGCGGCATTGACACGAATGAACACTCCATAGAAACTGAATTCTCTTTTGTACAAGATCACCTGCCACATGATTGGGAACAGTTGCTTTTAATTACAGATATGATTTTTTTTTCTTTGTTAAAGTTTTATGTAATTTAACCCTTTGAAGATGGAAGTAGTTGGTTGAAATGCACACTCGATTATTATAGAAACTGATAACAGGGAGTCCTCGTTCCCCCTTAACTTTTGCCTTCTTAAGTACATTGTGTAAAACTAGGGGAAAAGGGTATGTGTATATTGTAAACTATGGAAGTTCCAGCGCTCAAAGAGGTTAAGTCAGTGAAGTAACCTGTTCATCACCAGTCCCGCTGTACCACTACACTAATAAAATGTTTGCCAAATCCTTGTAATAACATCTTAATTTTAGACAATCATGTCACTGTTTTTTTAATGTTTAATTTTTGTGTGTGTTGTGTGTATCATGTATTTATTTGTTGGCAAACTATTTTTCGTTGATTACAATAGCACTGTTCCAGTCAGCCACTACTTTCTGATGTCCAAGGCACGCCCCTTTCTGAATTTGCAAGGACCAAGGTGACTCGACCTGTGTATGGGAGTGCCAAATGGTGTTTGGCTTTTCTTAACATTCCTTTTTTGTTGTTGTTTTGTTTTCCTTCTTAATGAGCTAAATATGAATAGATGCAACTTAGTTTTTGTAATACTGAAATCGATTCAATTGTATAAACGATTATAATTTCTTTCATGAAAGCATGATTCTTCTGATTAAAAACTGTACCCCATATTTTATGCTGGTCGTCTGCAAGCTTGTGCGATGTTATGTTCATGTTAATCCTATTTGTAAAATGAAGTGTTCCAGACCTTATGTTAAAAGAGAGAAGTAAATAACAGACTGTATTCAGTTATTTTGCCCCTTATTGAAGAACCAGATTTGTTTTCCTTTTGTTTTGTTTGTTTGTTTGTAATCTCATTTTGAAATAATCGGCAAGTTGAGGTACTTTCTTCAAATGCTTTGTACAATATAAACTGTTATGCCTTTCAGTGCATTACTATGGGAGGAGCAACTAAAAAATAAAGACTTACAAAACTGGTTATTTTTTCCACTGTGTGATATTTTTCCTTCTTGTGCAATTTTAGGGATCCAGTGATTTAAAGATATGATGTGTGGGAACTTGATGCCCTGATAGATACATGGAATGTCAAACATGTGTGTATTGTTTTGAGATGACATAGGGATAGACCTTGACCCACAGGAAATTGGGACTCTGACCCGTTCTTCTGAACTTCCTCTGTGCGGCACAAAGGGCTCATGTGCGATGCCACAGGGTCCTTGGTCTTACACCACATCCAGGGCACACATGCTAGTTAGTACAGAGAGTAACCTCCTGTTTTTCTACTCAACTTTATATAGTGCATCCTAAAAGTTGTTCTGATTTAAATTTTTGTTTTTAATTACAATTACTGTTCACTGATTCATAAGACCAAAAAAAAAAAAAAACAAACAAACAAACCCAACCCTTTAACATTTTTATATTCCTTCTAAGTCTTTGTCTACATGCAAAATATCATTTTTATAGTTATAACCAGAGTATAGACATGATGTTGTGTTTTCCTTATTTACTGTGACAAAAATTCTTCAGATGGATAATTTAGCAGTCGCCCCATGTTTCATCAGGTTTGATATACTATAATTTCTTTAACTATTTCAATTTTATTGAAGATTTAAGCTTTCTGATATTCACTAATGCAATCAGTGGAATTTTAATTTTCATGAGCAAAATTGATGTTCGTATATGTACATAGGTGAAATGTGAGAAATGATATTTCCATATGATAAATTCTCTGGTTGGGGAGCAATTATGAATTCTTCCTACTCCTTAAATGTAATGTTGATTGTTTTTAGAATATGGGAATTTCAGTGTTGGCTGACTATAGAGGTTTTAACAAGACCTGAAGAATAAACAATTATGACACATTGAAGAATAAATAAGTATTACCCATAGAAATAATAATTATTATTATAATAAATAAAACTAATCTCTTCATTTACTCATTCTTAGCCACACTACCAGATACAAAGAGAATCTCCTCACATTCTCTCTAAATGTCAGTAGTATAGGAATTAAATATATAGGGTATAAATATTGATTATTTCTAATAGAAAGTGTGTATAAGAGAAAGCATTCAGGAAATCTACATAAAATGTAAATCTGGCCTATAAAGGAGAAGAAGACTCTAATATTGGGGACATAATGGGGATCTGGAACATGCAGTACATCTTTCTTTTAAAGAATGTACCTATAAATTCTGCAGCAGCTTGAATACTCTCAATGCTACTAAATTCTTGTTAGGTTTTGAGCATGACATTTCAGTTGTTTGCTAATACTCAGTCCCTCCGAATTCCAAAAAGGCTTTCAAGCCTTACGTTTCTGCAGTTTTTCCATTCTTTCTGCCAGCAGTCCTCCACCACGGGCCCCTATGGGGACTGGTGAGATACGGTGGAGACTCTATTGAATTTGGAAACCCAAGGCCTGGGTCTGAGTTCTGGCTCTGCCGCTTCGCTGGCTTCGAGGTCTCAGGCAAGTCACATACCTCTCAAAATCTCATCTAGGAAACCGGGGTCATGATACTTGCTTCTGCTGCTACTGCTTTGGGTTTCTGTGAGTGTCCAAAAATCAAAATGTATTTTTGGAAAGATTTGGTAAGAGTTCTGCCCAAGCAAAGCATTTTATAATTTTCATGGTAGTCATTCAGGAAACATAATATATGCCTTTATCTACCCATATGTGTATGCATATGTGTATCTACAGACACCCAAACACAGACACTATAGTAAGAGAAAAAAATTTAGGATATGACCGAAATGTACTCTAGACTCTATAGAAGTAGATGTGTTTTCTAGGAAAAAAATGTTAAGAGATATTTCTTGAACAAATATGTATCTTTGAAAACTAAAGCTCAGCCCTTCGAAAACACAAGTTTTCAGTGTAATTGTTGAGAGCTCTCGAAAAATTTAAGGAGAGTTAAGAAAGTGTCTTCAAGGAGTAAGCACCTTCATATTTTTATTTTTATTTTTTATTTTCAGATAAATCAACCCGCCTTATTTCTGTACAGAATAAATGATTTATTCATTTTTTTAATTGCCTGCTCTGTCAGTGTCCAGCTGGGGATGGACACATCCATGACCTCTGTTAGTCATTACAGTACAGGCAGCGTTCCTCTTGTTTCACAGATGAGGAAACCGGAGCTCAGAGAGTTTAAGGACCTCGCTCGAAGTGACCCAGCTGGGAACTGGCTGGCTGACATTCCAGGGGTGTCTGGCTCCTTAGCCCACTCTTAGCCAAGAGTCTCAGGCCTCCTGATTTAGGTACAGCTAACGAAAGTCCAAAAAGGAATGTTCCAAATCAAAGAAATGTGCCCACAGAGAGTAAAGCTGTCAGAGATGCAAATGTGCCCGGGAGACATTTAGGCGTCTGAGTCTTGGCTGTAAAGAGTTTGAAAGGTGAGTGCCAAGCACTGGGTTCCAAGCTTTTTCTATTCAGGTTATCTCAAGTCAGAACCAGCAATACCAGTGCTTTTTTGAAAGATCCTAAATGCTTCCTTAATGAGAGAAGAGCGTTTGTAATCTTGTTTGCAAATTCATAGCAGATGGCTTGAGTTTCCTCCTTACTCTTTTGGGGAAAAAAAAAATTTACCCCAAACCTACATTTTGAAATTATTAACATGGAATGAATTAAGCCCCTTCTAAAATGGTTAGCAGACTCATCATGAGAGAAAGCAAACGCAGAAGCAAGTGAAGTTAAGAAGTTTGGAGGACCCCCCCGCCAAAAAAAAAAGAAAGAAAGAAAAGAAAAATTTGGAGAGACAGCCAGCTCTTCCCCCAGACACTTAGGCTGGGATTTAATTGTCCATTATATTTCACAGAACCCATTTCTGAATATAAGACTGTCCTTGGTGCAACATTTATTTAGAAAAAGGATGTAGGATGGCTACTATTAAAAAAAAATACTGATAATAACGAAGACTGGTGAGAGGGTGGAGAAATTGGACCCTTTGTGCATTGCTGGTGAGAATGTGAATTGGTGTGGGCACTCTAGACAACAGTACGAAGGGGCCTCAAACAGTTATAAATAGAACTACCCTATGATCCAGTAATCCCACTTCTGGGTAGATACCCAAAAGGATTTCAAAGCAGGTTCTCAAAGAGATATGTGTACACTCATGTTCACGGTAGCATCGTTCACAGGAGCTGAAGAGTGCAAGCAGCCCAGATGTCTATTGATGGATAAAGAAACAAAATGTGTCGTAGCCACAGAGTGGAATATTATTTAGTCTCAAGAAGGAAATTCTGACATATGTTCTAACATGGATAAACCTTGAGGATATGATGCTAGGTAAAATAAGCTAGCCACAAAAAGACACTGAATGATTCCACCCATCTGAAGCACCTAGAATCGTCAAATAAATAGAGATAGAGAGTAGAATGGTGATTGCCAGTGGCTGGGGGCAGGAAGGAATAGGGAGTTGTTTCATTGATACAGAGTTTCAGTTCTGCAAGGTAAGAGTTCTGGAGATTGGTTACAAAATACTGTGAATGCACTTGCCACTGCTCAATTATAGCTTCAAAAGGGCTAAGAAAATAATTTTTATGTTAAGTATCGTTCACTATAATAAAAAAGAAAACAAAATAAAATCGTACTCTATCCACATGGTTCTTTAAACTGAAAGAATCTAATTCTATTTAACTCAAGCAGAGAAGCAAATTACCAGAGGGATATAGGAGAGCTCATAACAATTAGAGAGCAAGCTGGGGAATCAGGCCTAGGACATAATCCAGAACCAGTGAGCAGGCAATAGCAGGAGCCCATGGGACACCTCTAAGGCTGTCATCAGCAGGATGGATCAACTACCACTATGTTCAGTCTTTCTTGTCACCCTGTGTCCAGATTAAAACTCTAGGGATAGACCATGGAACTTGCCCTGCAAACCCTTGACCTGCAAACCCTTGACCTGCAAACCCTTGACCAAGAGCATCATTAAATGCCTCTAAAGGTAGGGCACTAAAGGCTAGTTTCTATATAACTAAATTGAGAAGCTCCTCACAGATAAGTGGGAATGAATGATGGATGTCAAAAACAACATATCTTCATATCACTTGATGATAGGAAAACATAAGGAACGTAATACGTAAGGATCAAGACTTTCAGGGAAGGATACCGGATTTGGTAATTTTAAGGGTCATCAGAGGGATAACCTGATAGCATGTACAAAATTAGGACTGCTCCAGAAATCGAAAGACCTACAATTCTCACAGGAATAATTGTTCCAGAAAATTCTTGATGTAAAGATTTTTGTTAGAGTGTGTGTGTGTTCATACTTTCAATGCTTCCATCATGACTCCTACTGACAATTCTGCCAAGATTGGCAATAAAAGGGGTGCCTGGGTGCTCAGTTATTAATCGTCTGCCTTGGGCTCAGGTCATGATCCAAGGTCCTGGTATCGAGCCCCACATTGAACTTCCTACTCCACAGGAAGCCGCCTTCTCCCTCTCTCACTCTCCCTGCTTGTGTTCCCTCTTTTGCTGTGTCTCTTTGTCAAATAAATAAATACAATCTTCAAAAAGGGGGGGGGGGCACCTGGGTGGCTCAGTTGGTTAAATGACTGCCTTCGGCTCAGGTCATGATCCCGGAGTCCTAGGATAGTCCCCCATCAGACTCCCAGCTCCATGGGGAGTCTGCTTCTCCCTCTGACCTCCCCTTTCATGTTCTCTCTCACTCTGTCTCTCTCTCTCTCAAATAAATAAATAAAATCTTGGGGGAAAAAAAAAGATTGGCAATAAAATTGTAGCCAAGTAGACATGGGTTAACCAGAATTTAAGCAGACTGATTCATAAGAGAATTTGCAAACTTCTATGAGATGTATGAGTTGTTGTGGTCAGTTAAGAAACTGAAGTGTTTGAATCAAAAGCATCCAGTTAATCAATGTCTAGAAAGGAAATCAGAAACCACTCTAAATATTTAAAGCAGAGAAGGATTCAAAGCAAACGGTTACATATAAAGAATTGGAAGTTCTGGAAGAGCAAAAGGAAGACTA